GATATTAAAGATATTATCCCACCAGACTGTTTATCCCCTGAAATTTCCTATATATACTAATTTCTAATATCAAATAGTTTGTATCTTCATTTGAATTTTATGTAGCTATTCATTTTTCGAAGGATGTCATTTTTTATTCATCGACTTTTTTCTATATACTTTCTAAATCAAAAGATAATTTTTGTATATCTTCTGTGAATTTGTTTCAAATTTCCCTCTCTGTCCTTTTTTAATACACAAAATATTCAAATGACAAACGTACGTATTTGCGTTCAAACAATCTAAACGCCTAAATTTGACATGATATATGGTTTGACTCTTGATTTGAAATATAGGTAATTAGTTGGTTTAAAGCGGCTTTAATAAAGACTAATTAGGTGTAATTAAGGACATATCTACCAACAAAATTATTTATTATGATAGAATAACTCATATTATAATAATCTATTATATAAAGAGTGGGTTGTGTCTCACAAACTTGACACATCAGCACCTTCTCTTTTGACACATCAGCTCTCTAGAATTTAATTTAGAAATTAATTTTTTAAAAAAGAATATGAAGAATCTGAGTACATCACAGCCTCCTCTATTTAAATCACATAGGTCAAGATGAATTTAATTAACAATACAAAATTCCAAAGCTTTTTTCGATGCAAAATTATCTTCTTATTAATTGTTCGTTCTTCACAACCAAGTTTCGGAAAACCATTAGTTCCCTCCTCACCTTTCATAATTGTATCTCATCAGATACCGTTATAATTTCATTGCTTCCACTTGGATTGTGGTGATTCTCGATACTTAAAAATATATGCTCGTTCGTTCAACTGATTGATCGGATATGATAGTCATATCATATGTAACTCATTTACTCAAATTTGAACCGTCTGAAGGGAAAGTTGACAAATAAAAAAGGCTCGGATCTGAGTGTAAATACTCAGATTATTTCGCTTGGTGTTCCTTTCTTGACAAAAAGAGGTTTGTGTGAGGTTATTCTGTGCATCTAGATTGAGTTATACCAGTGTAAAGAGATGAACACGGCTCGATTTCAATTGTTTGATGAAGTTCCTTAGAGAGCTTTCTATTGTCGTATTGCAAGTAATAAGTATTAAATAAAATTGTCTTGGTTTATTTATTTAGTTATATATAAATATGTATATATTTCCATGAAACTCTTCTGTTATCAGTCACCAAAGTTTACATCGCTTCTGGTATTTTACAACTCAGAGTTCTTTTGTTCATCAATTATTATAAGTAAGGAAAATATTTACATATATATTGTAAGCATATGACTGTGCTTAATTTTGCAGGGAAATGGTCGCTTATATTGTAAACATATTAGTTTTTATACTTGAGTACAAACAGAAATTAGGTACTCGAATATTTTGCAAAGTAAAACAATTCTATTTTCTTTTCTTTATCCGTTCACCAGCACAACTTGTGCTATAGTGAATTTGTTTCTCTTGTAAATTGCAGTGGTGTTATTATCGCTGAAGGCGGTCTTAGCGCCAGAAAGTCTCTTACGAAGGTGTCCTTCACGTTTGATTTTTGGAATTTTGTATTTTATCTGTTTTTAGACTATATAAACAGAGTTTTTTCCCTAAAGTTTGGTATTGTTTATTTCTAATTGTCAAGATTATTTTGATTTTGGAGAAGATGACTTGTCAACATTTGGTTCCTATATTATTCTCGCATCAGCTTTGTTCTTTACATATATTGAAGGAACATTCCCGTTGTATGTCCAACTTTCCCGTTGTAGCTGTGTTGGAGTTTTGTATCCATTGCTACATCGCTTTGGCTATTGCCTGGATTAGAAAGTATGTAATGTGAAGTGAAAATCTCTTTGGGAGAAAAAACGTTTGGGTTTCATAAAAAAGTTGTTAGAATCTCTTCTAAAATTTACATAATTTTGGTTTGAGTACAAAATTTTATTTTTTTTTTACCAAAGAATTTTTAATACAAAATTAAAAATACCAAAATGAATAAAGCTAAACAATGAAACTACATTACTAACAAACACATATATAAAAACCCGCGCATATGCCCAGGTATGCTCCTAATATAGTTAATGGGATGGCTCACTCTTGTAGATGTCCTACCAGTGCCCTTCCAACCCAACTAATCGTAGTGGACAAAGCTTATACTCCTATGTACGGTTCCATCATAATTTAAATTATAATTTTTGTTAATTTGTTAAACAATTTTATGCGGACGGTTTTTAGTCGCTTTTGTAGATTCATCTGCAGCCGTCTAGTGTTGAGGATAATTTAATATACTTTTAAACATATTAATATTTCTTTGGTTTAGGCCGTTTAGATATGATAATGGAGTATACTGGGAGAAATTTGAAAGTTGTTGAGTTTAAAACGTCTTCAATTACAAAACAAACATGCGGATGAAAGTGAAATAAATGGTTCAGGTAAGCGGTTTAAATCGATAATTAAAATATATGTTAGAAGATAAAACTAGCGGATAAAAACCATCTATACTGTCATTTTACACTTATACTAGATTTTAATCTCGTGCGTCTGCACGGGAATGTTTTATTTTTTATTTCTAATATAAGTTGCATTTATCTTTTTTTGTTTAAATATAATTTATTTTTGTTATTTATTTTTTAAAACTAAAAAATTATTATCGTATTTTAATTTTAAACAGTAAAATTGGTATATTAGTAGAATAAAAATATACGTTAATTAAGTATACATTGATCTAATGTTAATTATAAACTTTGTTATTATGTGAATTATGATTTACACATAAACAATTTATATATCTATGAATTTACTAATCCATCCGTTTACTTGTCTTGAATCATTTTTAATATCTTACATGTTTTTTACAATAGAAAATGATGGTTGAGTACATATATATATTAAGTATTTTTTCTTTAGTTATAATTTTCCCATTTAGAGAAGTAAGGCAATATCATATTTTTTTAAGTTGCAATCACACTCTTCGATTTAACCCCACTATTTTAAGATACTTGATATCCTTTCACTAGATGATAAAAGACAGATGAAAATTAAATAATTTAATAAAGATTCGGCCCAACCCACATGGTCCTGTCGAATTAAAAGATGACCGATTTTCATAAATAACAGTATCTTTAGTTGAAAGTTGTAACCGAATTGAGTCTCCAGATTATTTTGGAATGTTTTACTAATGAAAGGAAATTTTTTTTGGGGTCATCTTATAATTTATTTACACCACCAACCTAATTAGGACACAACATCGACATTTTAAATATCTTTTTTTACATCTACTTTTATTTACATAAAACTTAAAATCCAAGATTACATGAAAATTATAAAAAATAACTAATTACATAGTAAAATTTCGTGAAAATGATTAAAAAATATTAATGAATTGAAATTTGAGACTGCTAACAAATTAAAGAACTTTTAAAATTTGAAACTGCTATTTTTCAATGATTTTACGAATATCACCTATACTATGATGCATATTTGGCTTCATAGAATTGAGTTCTTTAAGGTAGCTGTTTCCATAGTTATTCCGTTATAATTTATTATGTAATGAGAACTAATCATCTCGAACAGTAAACCGGAGTTGACAAAAAAAAAAAAGGGAACAGTAAACCGGGCTAGTTTGTGGCGGTTAAGCTTGAAATCATTTGAGGGGCTGGTTAGATAGGTTCAAGTCTTAATACGGTTTAATGTTGGTTTATAATTAAAAATGTAAAAACAAGATTGTCAGTTAGTCGTTGTAAGTTTGTAATAAGTACAAATACAGAAGTTGAATGGAGAAAATCAAGCAATTAAGCCTGTACAAGTGTACATGATCTCATAGTGAATTGATAATATCACCGGTTGATTTATATTTCTCATCGATCAAAGCTCATAAAATCGCATCGTGTTTTTCTATTATTTACTATTTTTGTTCAGAGATTTAGGAGTGTGTGTGAATTCAGTAATAACTTTAAAAATACGTTTGAAATCATAAAAATACCTCAAAATGTTTTATGAATTTATGAGTAATTAATTCTGAAATCGTTTTGAATTTTTTTTACCTATATCCTCATAAATGATAAATGCTTTAATTTCTCTTCAACTTCTTTCTTCCACCGTTCTATTTTATTTTTATATTTAGATCTGTGATTCTTGGTGACGGGTTCCACCAGTTTCTTTAGCGCTAGAGCCTAGTCTTTCTTATGTACATATTTAGACTCCTAACCAAAAAATATAAAAGATTATGCATCATTTGCTTATGTGAACTTCAATTAAATCATGCATGAGGAGGTAATAGATAGGTAAAAACACATGTACGCTGAAAATCTACGCTTGCGTCGCCTCAGCAGCCATAAACTCCGCATATATTAACATCTTCTCATTCAGAACTAGACTCGAATATTTCTCTAAGGTTGGTCTTTTGTTTGGGTTAGAAGTAGTAACTAAATCACAAATATATATTGAGATTTTTTTTTTTCAACATTTTATCAAAATATATGTCTATGATTTTACATTTTAGGTCATTGTTGAAATAAAACGTTAATTTTATAGTTAATATAACAGTATAGTTTTATAACAGCTATATGTAATTGAATCTTGTAATTAAGATTATTCTATCGGTGTATTAAAAAAACTCTTCAAATATTATGTTATTAGAAAGCTTTGAAATTGATTTTTCGTGTTTACAGAGACATTTTTTGTTTAACGTCTAGATATCATATACACAGAGATATCTAGATTTTTTTTTTAAAAAAAACTAATTTTGTGGTTTAAGTGATATTTACATATATTTTTAAAAAGTGACATTTATAGATAGGTATTGTTTTTTACAAAGATCGTAATATATTGTATAATATAAACGAAAAAAAAGTAATAGTGTAAAAACAAATCTAAACTCATCATTTTAAATGTTTGCTTTTACAAAAAAAAATGTTTAATTAATTATTGAAATTATATACCTGTTATCATATCTTTGTACAAACTCTACTGCCACCTTCTATTTAAGCTCTCTAGATCTCTTATATTTGTTGTTTATAGCATTTCCTGATCAAGCTAAACAAGTCTATTAACTAGGGTTGGATCAACAATTAAATAATCAATCAAGCCACTCATTTGGGACAATGAGCCGAGGTGGGAGCTTTGGAGGCGGACAAAGCTCGCTAGGTTATCTTTTCGGATCAGACAATGAGATTCCAAAAAATCTACCACCGGCTGCCCCAAAGCCTACACCACCGTACGGCGTAGATTCCACCGATGACGATAAAGCTGACCAAAAGCCTGAGATCTCTAACAACAACAACTACCATAGAGCTCAGGGCCAAAACTCCGGCAACTTCGTCACCGTAAGTCTTTATTTTTCTTCTTATTTTTTTTAACTATAATAATTCTAGACCATTATTCAAATAGAAAAAGGGGTTATAATAATAAATATTTCAGGATCGTCCAACGACGAAGGTGAAATCGGTTCCTGGTGGAGGTTCATCTCTTGGATACTTATTTGGAGATAAGTAAACGAATGAAAAAAGAAGTTATAAAACTAGGGTTTATATTTTGCTCTAGTGAGGATTTTACTATATAATTTACCTAAAATATCTATATATATGCAGAGACCCCTATCTAGATCTCTACAGTACTTATTTATATATGTACGTACGGAAACGTGTGTTTTAAGTTTGCAGTTGATTATTTGCGATTTGTAGAATAGTTGGTTTTAAATTTTTGTTTGCAATTTCTAGAAAAACTGGTTTCTAGTTAGTCATTCATGAATATCTATTATTTAAATACATTTTCGTTTCTGTTTAATTCATCTATATGTTGCATATTGCCTTAATTCATCTATATGTTGAAGTTTATTCCTCTTTAGTAATTTGGAAAGTGGAGCTTCTTCTTTTGCACATGTCATTATGTCAATGCAAACTAACTTGGTCATATTTTTTTTTATATACATAACTGGAAAATATATTTTTGAAGCCGAGATTAATTTCAAAATATGTAGAACTGAATTTTATTGTCATTTACAATGTCACATCTACAAGCAGTATAGACATGATCCGTTTCCGACCAACAATTCAACAAAAGAAATTTTCAACAATTTTGATCACAATTGTTATCATATAGATTCACTCCAGTAGTATAATTTTATAATTTCTTATAAAATAATGTGAAATTAACAATATTATGGACAAATTAATCTCCAAAACGTTTGAAATGTTTTCATACAAATGTAATTTGTTTGTGAAGAACTCGAGTCTCAAAGGAGACAGTAATACGCGGCATGAATGCCACGTGGCTTGATTTAATCCGTAATTTGGTATTGTATTGATAGATAGTTGGATCTTTGAAAATAATATTTAATCGGGGTAAATAGGAAATAATGAAAAATGTGTGGCTAGTTTTAAAACTGTGTAATTTTCGTTCATGAGTCCCGGACCTTCTCAAAGCTTCCTCTACCACTAAAGTTCTCCAACTCAAAACAATTCTTCGATCACTGAAGCAAAAGCTCTTACAACAGGAGAAATTGAGTCACTCATTCAATTTTGCTCATTTGTTGAAATCGGTAATACTCACCATCTTAGTCTTATATGTTAACCTCTGTGACTATTTCTTTTCTTTTTTTTTTTTCATTTGATCTTGTCTTTTATATTTCCCCGATTGGTATCGATATTGTTCCCTCGAAAAATCCTGAAAATGCTAATCCGAAGCAGATTTAACTTCACAATTACAAAAAAGAGAAAATCGAATATTAACAATTACACGATTAATGTTGTATCTGTGTTTTTTACAAAAGAAATGTTGTATTTGTGTTTATTGTTGATTTCTTCTAGCCTTAATTTTAATCTAATTGATTGTTTGGTTGATTAATGCAAGAAATTTGACACTAAATTCCCCCTGTTGTTAGATCTATTAAGAGGATTAACTTCAGTTGTATATTACTTCTTTCAATCTCTTATGATTTGTTCTGACTTTCTTGCTTGATGAATTGCTAATTCCTAGTTCAAAAACAAGCGGTTCTTGAAGTTCTGTTGTTAGTCAGAATTTGAATATACTCGAAAATATATGTTTGTTCCTTCACGTTACGTTGTTGTTTAAAGTATAATAATCATTGATCTGGTGTTGGTGGTTTCTGTAAGAAAATAGAGTTTATCATATGTTGCGGAGAGCTGATATGTTAGTCAACTGTTCTTGCTCGCTTGGTGACTTTAACGCAATATATTTCGATCCATTTTCAAACAGGTTAAGATACAGAGAGATCACATAGTTCTGAATCACATGCGGCGTTTTCTTGCTCTTATAGACAAGCTCAAACCGATCTTCCCGGTTTCAGGATCAAACGGTAACTCGTGTATACCAAATCCTCCATAGTTTCTTATGATTTTAGTTTGTCACAAGGAAGAAAACGAAACGAGTGACTATGTTTTATGAGAAGCAGGTAAAGTGGTGAGAACCATAGTACCAAAGAAGCTTGTGAACGAGAACAATAGCGAAAGAGAAACAATGAAGAAGATCGAGGAAACCGTAGAGCCAATGATTGCCTTCAGCAGACCACCTCCATTTTCACCATTTGTTGGTCCAGTGCTCATATATTCCCTTCTTCAATCATGGTCTAGCCGCGACGAAGACGGCTAGTTGCAGCTTGAAATATATATATCATGAGATGTCTGCCAAAGTTTTCTTAACTAGAATCTCTTAAATCTAGATAATAACTGAGTCTTTAACATAACCTTGTGCGATATTTAATGGAGATAATGAAGTTTGATGATGTTAATGGGATCTCTTGGTTTGTTTATTTTTTTCTAAGCTTCATGTGTACTTTGTGAAATATATTAGTGATCAAACAAGTAGGAGTTGCTAATGTAGTATTTAGAAATGAATATTTTGGCTTCAGAGATTATTTGTTGGAAAGATGTATTGATCAAACAACACCAAATTCTCTTGTATCTCAAAAAGTACTGCTTAAAAACTTTGAATCTTGAATTTACAGAGTTACAATTTGAGTGATTATGTGCTATCATCAAATGAAGGGAATATATAAAATGATGGCGTATGAAAATATTGAAGTTAGATAATGAGCTTAATGTGTTTCATCCAAAGCTAATGGGCTTGGCCAAAATTTAAATCCATCAAACTTTAACCAAAGTGTCTTCTAAATAAACTAGGAAACAATAATTTAGTAGGGAGGAATATTTTAAGACCTAATGGTCCTAATCATGTAAAGTGAACATAAAATATGTTATTCCAATGCAATAGCCCTAATGCTGGGACCAAAGCTGTCCAAAAATTATTAAATTAGAGAATATAGAGCAGGTATATACACCTTTATATTATTCTTTTCATAGTTCTATTTTTAAGATTAAGTAATTAAGAAGACGACAGAAACAGTATCAATCAAGAATCCAAAGGAGAATGTAATAACAATATTAAATGGGGGCAAGTCCTCCCGTTGATCTTCGTATTTCTTAATTATTGAATTTAAAACAGAACAAAAACCAAAGAGTCCCATCGTTTTCTTTCGAAATTTTAATTTGTTAGTTATGGAAAAAGTCTGATTTTCGATAACGCCAAACAAGAAAAGTGTGGTTACAATTACTGAATTACCTAACACGCATCTTCTCTAACAACAAGCAGAAACAATCATCGCTATATTTTATGATGCTGTCACTTTTCTATCCGAAATTTAAACAATCATCGCTCTTACCTTTGTACAATACATCCAAAATGTTTCAAATTCTACTAATTACACATTTTTATCAACTTGTTTCCATTAATACACATGGATTCGTACTTTTTCAAAATTAATAATATAACCTACAGAGGATACATAACTGAAAATCTTTAATTTGTGAAATTTTTTTTTCTACTAATAATATGAGAATACCTGAACTAGTAATATTGTATTGATAATTAATAATGCGTAATAACGCTGAATTTCTTTTATGAATATGAGTATCTCGGTTCTTAATCAAATCTAAAACTTGTTGTTATCCAAAAGAAAATCAAATCTTGAATATATTCAAGCACGTGGAGTGACTTAAATCTACTCAAATCTAACAATTAGTCGTATATTTTACTTACTTCAATACTATCTATTGGAGTACGAACATCTTTCTAACAATGATTACATTGATTGTAATTTACGAGAAACCGCATCACAAAAAATATATAATTACCGTTCTGTAAATTGTCAAGCGGAACTAATTTAAGTCAGCCATAGAAGGCCCAGAAGCCACAACCTCCTCCCTTCAGTGAAAAACGAGCTTTCGAAACGACATAGTATTGGCTTTAAAATTTACGAGCAGACAGTGACACGTAGATAGTTCCGTGTGACCCACGTGGGGAGACGAGGAAGACTAGGACCCACACATATTCATAGATCCGACCGCTCGTCTTTCTTGCGAATGCTTCTTCCCCTTCATCTACACTTTACTGTAAACACACAAACCTTTTTGGATTTACGGTAACACAAAAAAATCTCGAAAAATTAAATTTAAATAATTCGTTTATGTAAAAAGACAACAACCCCAATTTGTTTATTTTAATAATATCTTGCCCCTTTTTTTCTGTTCTTTTTATTTATTTTAGCGTTTATGGAGTTTCTAGTGGGGGAGGAGAGTATTGCGTTCTCTCTCACCTTTAATCTTCTTTCCATCTCTCTCTCTGCACATAGAGAAGCGAAAAAATAAATTATAAAAAAAAATTAACACATTGTCTTTCCCTTAATTTCTCGCGTTTTCCTCGATTTCTCAGGGTATCAACCATCTCTTTCACATTGATCTTTCCTTTTAAGAAAAGAAAGATCCAATTTTTTCGGTTCGTTCTCTCCTCTGAGTTACGAATCTAGAGCTAGAGAGACACTGTTTTCCTTTTTTTTCCCGAATTTCAAACAGACAAAACTAGGGTTTGTTTGTTTTTCACAGATTGTGAGGGGAAACAAGAAAACAAAAAAACAAAAATTGGATGAAAGGTAACCAGAAAGATTCGTCGGAGAAACCCATATGGGATCGGAGCTCATCGAGTACTTCCATACCCGGAATGTTGTCGGTAACCCGACCCGGTCCAAAACTAATGGTTTGGCTAATCTGCTTCATCGTTTTCACTTACATTATCTACATGCTTAAGCTCGTCTCCACCTCACGCTCCTGCGACGATTCCACTCCTCTCACCACCGTCTCCGCCGTCTCCACCAACGCCACCAATGTCACCTCCTCCGTAGCTTCACGACGGCGCGAGTGGGAGGAGGTGGATGACGAGGGAGACAAACCCGATGACCCCACCGATCTCAACCACGTGGTGTTCGGAATCGCTGCCTCGTCCAAGCTATGGAAACAGAGGAAAGAGTATATCAAGATCTGGTACAAACCAAAACACATGCGTGGCTACGTTTGGTTAGATAAAGAGGTGAAGAAGAACAGCAGCAACAGCGACGAAGAAGACGACGACGATCTTCTCCCGCCGGTGAAAATCTCCGCCGGAACTGCGTCTTTCCCTTACACGAACAAGCAAGGGCAACGCTCGGCGTTACGGATCTCGAGGATCGTGTCTGAGACGCTGCGTTTGGGTCCTAAGAACGTGAGGTGGTTCGTGATGGGTGATGACGACACGGTGTTCGTTACGGACAATCTCGTTAGAGTGTTGAGGAAGTACGACCACGAGCAGATGTATTACATTGGGAGCTTGTCGGAATCTCATCTGCAGAACATTTTTTTCTCGTACGGGATGGCTTACGGTGGAGGAGGATTCGCTATAAGCTATCCGTTGGCTAAAGCTTTGAGTAAGATGCAGGATCGGTGTATACAGAGGTATCCTGCATTGTATGGATCAGACGATCGCATGCAAGCTTGTATGGCCGAACTTGGAGTTCCACTCACTAAAGAACTTGGCTTTCACCAGGTAAGAGGATTTTAATGGAGGAATTTTAGTGACATTTGTTTGATTTGGGCTACTTTGGTAGTGAATTGGTGGTGATTGGTTGTTGCCAAATGTGGTCAATTGTCTTATAAAGATGGAACTAGAGATTCTTGATAAGTTGATGAAATAGGAATCAATGGTGTTGACTCTTTACTTGCATTTGATAGCTTTTTGCTTGGTGTTTTTCTTGTTTTGTTTAGTGTAGCACTAGCAAATATTAGCAACTTTTGATTTAGAGGCAAAATTGGCGTTTTCTTAATGATTTTGTGACATTGGTATTGGAAGTATTGAACTTACCTTCAATGGGTTTCGATCAATTTGTTAACATGGAAATGGAATCTACTCAACAAAGTTTAGGCTTTTGGAGTGTTAGAAAGTGTTGGAAGACTAGCTTTTGAGGCAATGGCTTTAGTACCAAACTTTCAAAGTTTGAAACTTTAGTAGAAGCCTTCAATGATTTTTTATGTTCTTATAAGAATGCTTTTCTTGGAATCTCAAACTGGCTAATGATTTCAATTTCGTTTCTTTGTTCTTTGTTCTTTGTTTGCTTCGATGCTATTTTGGCAAAATTTCCGTGGTTTGGTACCGACATCTCGGAGCGTGAGTAGCTTAATGTCGTCCATTTATTTAGTTAGATTGTTATTACAGGTGTAAGAGTAGGACCCGCCACTCTGTTTTCACACTTTAATGACTTGTTCCTCTCATTATCTCACAGACGCACCCTATGTCGCGTGCAACACACGCTCCTTTGTAACATCTTATTTTATCGTTTGTTATTCCATTTCAGTACGACGTTTACGGGAACCTCTTCGGCCTCCTCGCAGCACATCCAGTAACACCGTTCGTCTCAATGCACCACCTCGACGTGGTGGAACCGATCTTCCCAAACACGACACGTGTACGCGCTCTCAAGAAGCTAGCCGTACCGATGAAGCTCGACTCAGCCGGGCTTCTCCAGCAATCTATATGCTACGACAAGCACAAGAGCTGGACGATCTCGGTCTCTTGGGGCTATGCTGTCCAAATATTCCGCGGAATATTCTCTCCCCGAGAAATGGAAATGCCTTCAAGAACTTTCTTGAATTGGTACAAAAGGGCGGATTATACCGCCTACGCCTTCAATACCAGGCCGGTTAGTCGTAACCCGTGCCAAAAACCGTTTGTGTTTTACATGTCTACCACGAGATTTGACACGCAGCTGAACACGACGGTTAGCGAATACTCGAGGCACCGTGTTTCGCATCCGTCTTGTCGGTGGAAAATGACGAACCCGGCTGAGATTAACACCATCGTGGTTTACAAAAAACCGGACCCTCATCTTTGGGAAAGGGTAAGTAACATCATTTCATTTACAGCTTATGGTAAAAATGAAAAGATCATGTGATGTAATTTAATGGTTCTTGTGTTTTGTACAGTCACCTAGGAGGAACTGTTGCAGAGTGTTACAAACAAAGAGGAATAATACGTTATGGATCAATGTTGGTGTATGTAGAGCAGGTGAAGTCACTGAAGTTAAGTGAATTTTTGGTTTATATAGTTTTTTTTGTAATAATCTTATTTTTGAAAGAGATGAAAAATTAGAGGTTTGTAGGCTTTTTTTTTACCCCTCGTAATTTTTGGCACGATTATTAAAAATTTATTCATTGAGATCCCGTCCTAGTTCTTCTTTCAGTAAAATCGGTTCTTAAGAAATGCAATATTTTCTCAAATACAATTTTATCAATAAGATTCTAGAGGATGAAAAATGTGAAGTATTGGACTCTATACTTTCGCAAAACATATTTCAAAAGGATGGAAAAGTTCATCAAATATCTCGGTCCAAGAGGGACGTCTCAGATAACAACAACATTTGAGGACAAATCTTATACAAACAATGACCTCAAAACAATCGGTGAACGTTCAACATTTGAGTCTTGAGAAATACACACAGCATAAAATCTTCCAAGTCGGAAGAGAAGACCAGGCAAGGAGTGATTGATTACTTTGGGTAAGCTGGAGGAGGATAAGCACCAGGAGGATACTGAGAATAAGCTGGAGGAGGATAAGCACCAGGAGGGTGTTGTGGGTAACCTTGTGGATAGCCAGAAGGTGGATAACCCTGTGGAGGGTTTTGTGAATAACCTTGTGGAGGATAACCGATTGCGGGTGGAGTGGCTTGATCAAACCGTGACATGTGCTGAGGTGGAGGCACTGCCATTGGTTGTGGACCAAACTTACCGTCTCTCTTGTCCATTTCCACTTTGTGTTGTGTCTACAAAAGCATTATAGAAGTACAAGTTTTAATCATCATCATTAATGAGTAGAAGACTGTAGTATACGTATTAGTTGATGAGTAGGTGAGACTGAAATGGATTGCTATCATCATTTTACCTGCATACACGCGCAAACCCTGCAGATGAAGCAAAAGTATGATTCATCAGGACGATAGGCTAGAAATCGGGTTTTGATTACAGTCGTCTACGTTTAAGAATGAAATTACAGATGGAGAGGTTCTTACGTGCAGTACACCATGTCTGCCAAACAAGAGAGCAACTGAGAAGCTTCTGAAAGCTCATCAATCCCGACAATACATGCAACTATGGAGAATATGCAAGCCACTTGGCTGAGGCAAACCATAAAACCCTACACAGCCAAGAAGACAGCATAGATTGCGACACTTGTTTTTCGTGTTTCATTTGTGAGTGTCAGACTGTCAGTAACCGGCAAGGCTTGAGGGCAGTGAGGATACTTACAATGATGCAGTTGTCACATTGTGTCGTCTGAATTTGGAACTCATCTTGCAGAAGAAAACGAGTCGAGGCCACAGAGGTTCCAAAGCAGCAAAAGACCTGCAATTGTTCTACTATTTAGAAAACACCGGAAACTAGCTAACAATTCATGGAGATGCCTCATAAGCCATAACTAGGCATGACTGAGATTGTACACTTATGCTACAGGAAGTATCCAGATGCTAAAATGAACGTTCTAGAATAACTTAATTACAGACGATATATAAAGATAATAACTTGCAAAATCATGATCCTTACCTCAGTGGCAAGACAAAACTGAGGACATTTGGTTTCTCCACACCTGCCGCTACAAGGCATGTATCCGGCGCAACATGTGTACCTGAGAGACAAAAGAAGTATCCTTTTCAAACTACGAAGATCGAATTAGAATGAATTTATGTTAAGTTACTTGAATGCGTGGAATACCTTGACATGTCATTGTAAAGCGCACGCTTGCGGAGCAAGTATGATGCACAAGGGGCACTGTAAGGAGAAGAGCGCAAATGGCATTTACATGTGTATGTAACAAAGCAGACACCAAAGAGGTACAAATCACAAAATGTTAAAGTTCTACTACTACACACTCTGAGCAGATTCCAACGATCAGAGAAACTCTATGATTTGTGAAATTCAGATCACTCCACAAACAAATTTCTCGATGAAATGAAAACTGATGACCTAAGAATGTGATTCGAAGTCTATTTCAAAGCTAAATCTTCGTCAATTCAAATAAACAAGATACACTAGCTCGAAATATTCAAAAATTCCAAATACAGAGAGAGAAAGCAACGTAGAGTCTCAGATCGAGCAGAGACTTACCACCACAACGCGAAGCAGCAATCTGCGAACAACAGCAACAGCAACAACAAGACAGAAATTGTTCGATCAATACCCAAAAACCGATCAAACACAAATTTCAAAGAGAGATTGAGAAATTACAGGGAGTATCGCCCTGGATGCTGTGCGTGAGATCCGTGTGCCAGACGTTGCGGAAGTTCTGGCGTTGCTGCATCTTCTCCGTGTCGAATTTCGGCGCCATTGTCGTAAGGATCTGATTCGATGACGAAGTGAGTCAATCTAGACTAGAGAGAGAAAACTCACGGCGAGAATCGATAAGGTTCAGAGACTTGAAAAGTCTTGCGAAACTGATCAAATCGCATCTAAAAGTTTCCCACACAAACGTGTTTCTGACTTCATGCGTCCCAAGTCGTCAACTTGAGGAAAAAAAGAAGGCAACTGGCGTTGACTAGTCAAAGTTATGGGGCATTCCGAGAAATGTCTAAAGTACTAGGGCTTAATTGAAGCTAACTTTAATTGAAAACTGACCTATTTACTTTCATTAATTATTAAAACCATCCCGACCTGGAAACTTAACTAAATGGTCAACAACATACAAACGAAGTGGGCTACAATTACCAAAAGGCCCGTTGAAGAATCGGCTTGTTGATTGAGCGAAAAAAAAAACACTCCATTGTTGTTTCTGCAATTCGTTTCTCTCTCTCCGTCACTCATCGTCTCGGAGAAGAAGTGTGGAGGTCGAAAAAAGGAGAAATGAGCGGCCATGATTCCAAATACTTTTCGACAACGAAGAAGGGAGAGATCCCTGAGCTCAAGGAAGAGCTGAATTCACAGTACAAGGTTCTTCTCAACATCTAATTCATATATGGTTTGCTGTATGGATCTGTGATCTGCCATTTCTACGATTCTGATCTCCTCTGAGTTACTTTCTATGATAGATCTGTATCATTATGGATTCGAATTGATCGGTTAATTTTGTTGCTATTTAGTGGAGATTGGTTTTGGTATTATTTGGAAAGAGTGATGATGGTGTACGTTATGGTAATTGTGTTCAAAGTTTGATTTGAAAAATAGCTAGAAATGGAAGCAACTTCATAGAATGGCTAATGGGGGGATGTGTAGAGACTTTTTGGGCCTTTAGATTGGTAGATCATATGTATTGAATCTGGATCAATGCATTGGTTGGATGATCAGTGATTGTTGATCATACTCGCTTATTCTTCGTTAAAGTTTAGTGTCTTCGGAAATGGAGGAATGCATTAAGCCACTTAATTTAGTAGGAATCGTCTACTTTCCCGGTTGTGCGTCTTACATACAGTTCTTCCTTGAGTGTGGTCCAGATGGACTTCAGTTGAAATGATAAACAAAATCTAATGCAAGGAGAAATGATTGACCTTAGTTTGGATCTGTCCAATCCGGTTTTTTCTTTTTGAAATTTTGGCATCTACAAGTATGAAATTTGTCTAGCACAAGTTTACAGCTTCGGAAGATGCCAATGGTACTGATTCCAGATGATGGCATATGTTTCTCTTTTTGCTTCGGTTTCCAAACCTTTTTTCTTCTTCTTTATGTTCCTAGGATAAGAGGAAAGATGCTGTTAAGAAGGTTATCGCAGCAATGACTGTTGGAAAGGATGTTTCATCACTTTTCACTGATGTAGTCAATTGCATGCAAACGGAGAATCTGGAGCTGAAGAAGCTTGTTTACTTGTATTTGATAAACTATGCAAAAAGCCAGCCAGATCTTGCTATCCTTGCAGTAAATACTTTCGTAAAGGTAACACTTAAGCTACTTTCATATAGTCTTCTCATATGTAGCCAACCCAAGCAAAAAGACCTGACATATGCCAAGTTTCTTTGTCTTCCTCTAATTTTTGAAGAAGAATAGAAAAGAAGAAACTCATCATTGTTAAACTTCTGCTTTTTATTCGGCAGGATTCCCAAGACCCAAATCCGTTGATCCGCGCTTTGGCTGTGCGGACAATGGGCTGCATTCGCGTTGATAAGATCACAGAGTATTTGTGTGATCCTCTTCAGAAATGCCTAAAGGTTGAGTTTTTTTTTTGATGCTACATTGCCACTGGAAGTTGTATCGACATCTTTATTTCCCTCAAGAATTTGTTATATCCTGACTGATGAATTATTTCTGTATTTCCTTTGTACGCATTTTTTTGTTGAGATTAAAACTTTTTGCAATTTTCATTCTCAGGATGATGATCCATATGTTCGCAAGACAGCAGCTGTTTGTGTTGCTAAACTGTTTGACATAAATGCTGAATTAGTGGAGGACAGGGGTTTCCTTGAATCCTTGAAGGATTTAATATCAGACAATAATCCAATGGTTGTAGCAAATGCTGTAGCAGCCCTTGCAGAGATACAAGAGAATAGTACTAGTCCCATTTTTGAAATCAATAGTATTACCCTCACAAAGCTCCTTACAGCTTTGAATGAATGTACTGAGTAAGTCTTTTTCCGTATCCTACTTTTATTCTGATCGTGTCTGATCGACTGTTTGTAGTCAGATCATTGTTGGTGTTTGTTTTCGAAGAACGTAGGATGACCTAAATATTCACAGTAGGGTAATCTGTTCTGAGTTGCGAAATGACTTTCTTCTTGTGTTATAGCATCAGGATAACTAAGCTTATACTGTCTATTTAACCTAAATTTGTGGCAGTAAGGATGTCTTTCTTGTAACGAAGACTTTCTATGTTGATAAAGACATGGATTTGATGTCGGGGGAAAAGGGTCCATAAATAATTATATTTTCCTTGCTTGTTCGCTGGATACATATTTATAGTTTTCAACCTTAATAACTCTGTCTGTGTTCTTCACAGATGGGGTCAAGTATTTATTTTAGATGCTTTGTCGAGGTATAAAGCTGCTGATCCTCGTGAAGCAGAAAATATTGTTGAGAGAGTCACTCCAAGGTTGCAACATGCCAACTGCGCTGTTGTGCTTTCAGCTGTTAAGGTGACCCTGTAAAAAAATTACTGTGAACTGTTGTCAGTCAAACGAGTTTGTGAAGTGTTAACGATATGCCTTTACATAGTTTCTAATGCTATTCCTCTTTTGTTTGTTTTCCAGATGATCCTTCAGCAGATGGAGCTTATTACTAGTACAGATGTGATTCGAAATCTTTGCAAAAAGATGGCTCCTCCCCTAGTTACATTGCTTTCTGCAGAACCTGAAATACAATATGTTGCACTTCGTAACATTAACCTTATTGTCCAAAAAAGACCCACTATTCTTGCCCATGAAATCAAGGTAGCTTGATTATGTCTCGTAGGCTCTCAGAGTAAGTAATTGATATATTCTTATATTTATTGATAATGCTTCATGTTTTTCTTTTAGGTGTTCTTCTGCAAGTATAATGATCCGATTTATGTCAAGATGGAAAAGTTGGAGATTATGATAAAACTTGCTTCTGACAGAAACATAGACCAGGTAATCCATGCTACACTTTATCATCAGCTTTTTGTCCAATTTATTTTCTATGGTGCGTATGATGATGGTTTCTGGAACATGCTAATGTAGGTTCTTCTAGAGTTCAAAGAGTATGCCACGGAAGTAGATGTTGATTTTGTTCGGAAAGCTGTTCGTGCAATAGGCCGATGTGCCATCAAACTAGAAAGAGCAGCTGAAAGGTGCATCAGTGTTTTACTTGAGCTGATCAAGATCAAAGTGAATTATGTTGTTCAGGAGGCCATTATAGTCATTAAAGATATCTTTAGAAGATATCCGAACACGTAAGTTGATGAATGTCAACTTTCTTATGTGGCATCTTCAAGTGCTGTAACTCTCTTTAATCTTGGCTATGTCAATTAAAACAACGTACAGGTATGAATCCATAATTGCAACACTCTGCGAGAGTCTAGACACATTGGATGAACCAGAAGCTAAGGTAATTAAAAAAAATTTGTTTATGGTGTCAAATAGCTGGAAGCTTCCCCATCCAAAATAAATCTTAATCAGTGAAACTCATACTCGTGCATTTGTTGGATCTTGAAAGGCATCTATGATTTGGATCATTGGTGAATATGCTGAAAGAATCGACAATGCGGATGAACTTCTTGAAAGCTTCCTGGAGAGTTTCCCTGAGGAACCAGCACAGGTCCAGCTGCAGCTTCTTACAGCTACAGTCAAACTATTTCTGAAGAAGCCAACTGAAGGCCCACAACAAATGATTCAGGTTCTGCCATGACAATTATGAAGCACGCCTATTGCTCTCTTAATTGATTCAAACGCATGAATATAACGAAATGCTTGTCTTTTGCCATGTTTCAATTTTTCAGGTTGTCTTGAATAATGCTACTGTGGAGACAGACAATCCTGATCTCAGGGATCGTGCATACATCTACTGGCGTCTTCTCTCTACTGATCCAGAGGTATGTTTCCTTTGATATGTTAATACTACTCAACTAGTTCAAGTACATTGGACAATCACCAGTCCTCTTTTTTTACTAGGCGGCCAAGGATGTTGTTTTGGCTGAAAAGCCTGTCATTACTGATGACTCAAACCAACTCGACCCCTCACTCCTGGATGAGCTGCTTGCAAATATTTCAACCTTGTCCTCTGTGTATCACAAGCCACCAGAGGCTTTTGTAACCCGCTTGAAAACCACAGTTCAGAAAACAGAAGATGAGGACTATGTGGAAGGGAGCGAAACAGGATATTCTGAGACATCTGGTAATCCGGTTGAAGGTGCAGCATCCCCTCCAGGCACCACAGGTTATGTCCGAAAGCCAGCTCCTGCAGTGGCTACCCCAGCTCCGGTGCCCGATCTGCTAGGTGACCTAATGGGATCAGATAATGCTGCAATTGTCCCTGTAGATGAACCCACAACTCCATCAGGGTGAGTTTGGCTTTAATGGTGAAAATTTTCTATTGCACTAAAAGTCTCTATAGGCCACATTTGGATCACCTTGTCGTATATGAAACTCATCGAATCATCTGAAATTGATCGCAGTCCTCCGCTGCCCATTGTCCTGCCAGCATCAAGCGGTCAAGGCCTGCAGATTAGCGCTCAATTAACCCGACAAGATGGTCAAGTATTCTACAGTATGCTCCTCGAGAACAACTCGCAGTCGCTTCTTGATGGCTTCATGATTCAGTTCAACAAAAACTCATTCGGCCTTGCAGCTGTCGGGCCTCTGCAGGTAACAGCCCTTGAATATGCTATTACATCCGCGCTTATCTTACCCTGGATTCTTGAAACGGATGTCTGGGTTTTGTACTATTTTAGGTTCCGCCTCTGCAACCCGGAGCATCTGCCAGGACAATGTTGCCCATGGAATTGTTCCAGAACATGTCTGCTGGACCCACCAACTCTCTTTTGCAAGTTGCTGTCAAAAACAACCAGCAGCCTGTCTGGTACTTCACCGATAAGATTGTACTTCACGCTCTTTTCTCAGAAGATGGTAGGATGGAACGCGGAACTTTCCTCGAGGTAAAAGACTATAATATATAACAGTTTCATTAACAATACCACATAAGCATGTTAGTAGTTGGGTAAAACTAGAAAAAAGCGGCCAAAAATATTATGACTGTCTAGTTATTAGTGATTGGTTTAGGGCGTTAAGTTTCTTGGGAGAGTTAGGGTGCTCTAGATCTCACCCTAGGCTATGACTTTTTTGGTTTAAGTTTATGCGCACAACATTTATCACAGCCTAAAATACCAATCAGGGTTGGTAAATTGCTGACGATAGATAATGAAACATTGCTTTTTCGAGTAGACATGGAGGTCGTTACCAGATTCAAACGAGGTGCAGAAGGAATTCCCCGGGATAACCATAACGAGCGTGGAGTCAACGCTTGACTTGCTGGCCGCATCAAACATGTTCTTCATTGCAAAGCGTAAAAACGGAAACCAAGACGTGCTCTATCTATCAGCCAAAGTCCCAAGAGGCGTCCCGTTCTTGATCGAACTAACGGCCATGGTTGGTCAACCCGGTCTGAAATGTGCGGTCAAGACTCCAACCCCTGAGATCGCTCCTCTCTTCTTTGAAGCCGTCGAAATTCTCTTCAAGCCTTGATTTTTGGTTTTTTACAAGGTAACCAAATTATTCCCTTTTTATTATCGTTCCTTTATTGTATATGTAGTTAGTGATTACTCTTCTTTTTGTGTGTGTTTTCCCTCGCTTGGTATCTCTGTTGTCGCTGTTTGTTTCTAATTTTTGTATTTGGACCCACTCCGTTTTGTGTGATGATGACTTATTATCAGCAAATTCTATTTTTAGTGTTCAGTGACCGACATACTATCAAAAAGGTTCCCAAGTGGAGCAAAGCTATTCGTACACGTAAACTAATTGTAGTGTTTGAAAATTTGGTACTTTCTTCACAACAGATCATGATTGCCTACGTAGCCTACCTTATTACGAATCATTTGTTTTCTGTAAGACTGTAACATGCGGTTACAACATAGGTTCGTTGAAAGTCTAATCTTATTGGCAAGGATTCAGAGTCGCAAGAAACATATCAGTATACCTGTAATGAAAAAACAAGACCAAACTGAATTTTCAAAACTTGACTACTTGAGGAAGTTGTAGCGTGAGATTGAAGTAATGCCACCGAATATAAGGGTTTAGGCGCTATGTAAGTATATAGTATATACCATCACATAAAATATTCACATAAAAGGACGTCGTTTTGTATATTAATTTATACTATATAATATAATAAGCAGCTTCCGTAACCGAACCTGTTTGCTATGCTCTGTGATTTTTATATTCACTATAAGATATTTGAACAAATTTATATTCTTATACAGAAATATATGGACCATATATAGCGTAACATCTAGATTATCAAAAGTTAGGTTAAGTCTAATTCATATAATAGTGCCAGCAGAATCTGATTGAAAAAATTAATAATAGTTTTGATGAAATCTGATGGATTAGCCAAATTAAAGTTCTTGAAAGATATTTTTTTCCGCGTGAAAAAGAAAAGATTGAAAAAACAAAGCTTAAAGTGAAAATTTGACAAAACTACTCTAATTACTCTTTTTTTTATAAAGAAAAATAATATTTTATATTTAGATGTTTTGCGATTTTACTGATGAAAACCGTATTTTTCGAGCAGGAGTATGATTTTTTAGTGGAGACCATAAAAACTAAAGGATCCAATCTTTAACAATAAATATTTACACAAATCTATGTCACTAATAGAATAATTCTTTTGGCCCCACCAATATATTATATCAGTTTTCTATAGATAATGTTTTCAATCTTGATATTTCATATCCAATATTTTACTAATTAATGTACAAATATTTTTAATATCTTCTTTAATCTGTATTTTTTGTCAACCTACTGTATATCTATTTTCTTAAAACTATAAAGCACAATATAAGTGTATATATAGTTCAATATTGTACAATTTTTTTAGTTTAAGAGATATTGTAATTTGTAAATATTAGATGCTAGTATGCTTTACAATCATTATTTTAAAAAACTGAGAATGCTTATAAATTAAGTATCACATCTATGCTTATAATCTATAAAAACATAAACTTGGTGTTCATATCATGAAATCCAAATTAATCAAGGGGCGTCAATGGGAATTAAAATTTATTCATAAATCCGCAAGTTTTTTGTTGGCAAAGGAAAAAATCGGGAGCTTCCTTGTACGAGATGGTTTGTGAATTATTATGAATATAAATACAAAAAAGTTTGATTAACAACCAAAATAACCATTAAAGTAATTTGATTTGATTTCATCTCTGATAAAGTCGCCTCTCTCGTCGCAACCAGTCTTCTCCCTCTCTATCTCGCATTTCAGAAAATTCTCTCTTTATTTCCTTATTCAACACAAAACCTCAAGAGCTTCCCAGAAATCCGAACAAAGAGAATGGGTTTTTAAGGAAAATATCAAAAATTCCTTTTTCTCTGTGTTTTGGTAAATTATTCATCTCTCTTCTTCTTCTTCTTCTTCTCCGTTACAAAGGAAGTCCCTTTATATCTGTTTCGTAGGAACACGAACTCTGTTCCTTGGCTTCTTCTTTTCTGTATTAATTTGGGAAAAAAAGGTTTTTCTTTTTGTTTTTACCCACTTGTTTAGTTTCTGGTTCTACTTTTTCTATTTTGATCTCTCTGTTTTATGTTTTTAGTCTATTAAGATTTTGATTTGGTTTTGCTATTAATAGTATCTCTGTTGTAGTAAACCTAATGTCCAAACCTAATTGAAGGGTTTTCAATACTAATTTTATGCTGAATCAAACTTTTATCACTTGTAAGCTCAAGATGTTCTTAGGATCAAATAATTTACCACACATGAAATTGGAATACTTGGTTTGTTTAATTAATTAGCACACAAGAGTCTCTAAGGTTGAGTGTATATAAGTAGAAACAGTTTTATTGTTTTAATCTTGTGTCTTGCTATATAATCTCATTGGAAGTGTAAAGCTATGTTAGATTGAAGTGTTTAAATGTGGTTTCTCAGTTACTAAGTATGATCACAGAGCTGGATATTCTCCCTCTCATTAGAATTTTCATATATTTGTTCTGGAAATTTCAGGTTCTTTTTATAATCTGAAGAGCTGGAAACACACTGTTCTGCGAATTGTCGAAAAACTTGGTTAAACCGTCCAAAGAATGAGTTGCTGTTGCTGTTGTTTCCCGAGTATACCCGAAGTAAAGCTTCTTCTAAATGATTCCTATAACATGTTGTTTCGGTTTATATTTTCTTTATGTTTTGTTGTATTTCTGCAGAGCTCAAGAACTATAGATGAGCATGTTCCTTTATCTCATAATTCTCATTCACCACCTTCCTCTGCGGTATCCAGTGAAGCAGAAAATAGAAACTTGGTCCCTAATATATACACTGCACCGCTTCAGCCGCCAGTTCCTTTAGCATTCTCACCTAGAAATCTTCAAAGTCCATCGAAATTGCCAAGAACTCAGAGCAATTCGGGCGAGGGAGCTCAAGGAATCACACACGCTGTTCTGGAAAAGGAAACATGGCCTGTTGGTGATCTAACTGATACTGATCTAAAGAAAAAGGATCGAGAAACCATCGACGAGTGTCCAATTTGCTTAGAAGGTAATTTGTTTGTCATTCAAATTTTACATACTAAAAGATGGTTCTTGCTAAAGTTATCCTTCTTCATTTGGTATCTATCTTTGTTTGCAGAATATGAGTCAGAGAACCCGAAATTGCTTACGAAATGTGGCCACGATTTTCACCTTGCGTGCATTCTTGAATGGATGGAAAGAAGTGAGGCTTGTCCAGTTTGTGACAAGGTTCGTGTCAGTTAAAAAAAATTTCTTTTTTTTTCACAAACATTCTCGACTTCCCGAGTCACTTACTTAAATGAGTCTTTTTTTCTTTGTGCAGGAATTGGTACTCAATCAATGAATCATAATCGAAGTAAAACAAGAAACAGAGAACAAGAAGTGGAAAAAAAAAAGGTATAGAAGATTTGATTAAACTGGCATTAGGTGTTAGTATGGTGATGTGATGAACATTATTGCTCTATCTCATTCATAAGCTTGACTGCTTAAATATTTTCATTGTTTTTTTTTCTTACCAATCTTTTGATTACGTATATCAGACACAAAATACAGAAGAAGAAAATAGGATATGATCATATTTAGAAGATGTAGACAGAAATTTTTATATTCGATTGTTTTCTATACTTTGAAAAACGTTTTATTCACGGTTTGTTTTTCAATTTGAATTAAGAGAGCTTGTCATTTCAGAGATTTTACTGTGTAAAAAGAAGGATTCTCTGAAGAATTTCTTACATAACAGTTTTTTTCTTATTACTAAACCCTCTGTATAAATCTAACTCTTATGGCTAACATAATGATAACAAAAAAAAAAACAAGAAACTCTAACCTTTTTTTAACTTTTACAACAAGATAGCTCTAAAAGCCTCTCTATTACGGTGAAGTGTTATGAATCTGATGAACATTAGATAAGAGCCTCGTTAACTTACTCAATGTCTCTCGAGCCGACACAGTCCCAGGATGATCCTCTCCTGAGATAGAAGTTCTGATGAAGATCGCTTTTCTTATCAGATCATCAGCCAAACCAAACTGTCCGCCACGTAACATCAGCTTAGCTCGAGTCTCTAGCACGGTGGCTCGAGCCAGAGCAAGTTCTTCCCATAGAATAGGGTTTAGCTGTGCACTTGTCTGAACCGGTCTCCAGCAAAGCGACTTATCTAGCCACTTCTCAACCGGCGTCACCAGCGTTTGGTCAGCCGCTTCAAGAGCGTTCGTGCAGACCCTTAGTAACTCCACCGCAGCGCTGCACCGTGAAAACGTAATGAATGTTCTAATCGCTAGAGGCAAGATTACTTGTTTCACAAGAATAAGCAGCTCTGTTATCTTCAGCTGAAGAGTCGGAGCTTCGTTGCTGAAACCGAACAGCAAGAAACAAACCGCCCATATCTGCTCAGCTGTTTCAACCGTCGAGCCGCGGTTTATCACCGCTTGAACCATTGCAGGCGCGTTCTCATTCACCAGCACTCGGTTTCTCGCATAGAGTTTCACGACCTCGTGGATTTGTATAAACCCTAGCTTAACGCTGCTGGTTCGAGCAATGTTGAACCTAAGCAACATTGAAGCAGCTTCAGCTCCTGATCTCTTGGAGTTTGAAGACGCAAAACCGCAAGTTATAGCGCGTCTCAGTCTTCTCCATAACCGTTTTGGACCTCTGTGTTTTTCAGGGAGTTTATGAGCAGCCAAAGCTAACAGAGAAGCCGGAACCGGAGCCGGAGCTAACCACCCGCTCGCAACAACCATTCTCGTAGCCAAACTTCTTGGTCCATCCGCGTGATCAAAGATCGAAAAACAAACCTCAAAGAGCTGCAACAAGAACGCGCTTCTTCTCAACAAGTTCCCGTCCCGGCCACTACATGACATCTCTCTCAATGGCATTCTGTTTATTGTATCCAAAAGCCGGCTAGGGTTTATAGGAAGCTCTGACAATATCGCTCCCACGACCGCTAATCCCAACGTTAACCTCCCAAGTTTCTCTTCAATCGCTCTCAACGCATCCATTTCAGAAACCGGATAGTCTTTGACGTTTCCCTGCATCAGTGTCATGGCTTCAGCACCAGAGAGGTAAGAGAGTTTCAACGGCTCCATGTTCATTACTCTGGAGAGACGAGTAGATATCAAAATGTGAGTCCCGCCTCCAAACCGAGGAAGAAGATCCATCACAAGCTTCGAATCCCACCAGTCTTTCTCGCTCTCCAAGTTATCGATCACGACCAAGAACGGTATGTTCCTCATCAGCTCTTTCCTGATTCTTGAAACCGCAGCGTCTTCTTGCTCTTCGAAGCTCTTCATCCTCGTTTTATCAGAGCAATTCTCTATCCCAACGTCTACTTCCAAATACTGATAAAGATTCAGATAGTTCTGTCTAATGTAACGGCTCTCGCCACCTATCCAAAGAACCATCTTGTACCTCTGGTGATGCCTGTAAGCAAATTCAAGAAGCAGCTCGGTTTTGCCAATCCCTGATTCACCAGAGACGCAAGCCACGCCTTTACCGTAAACAATCTTCGTAGAACGTTTCCTCCTCGTGTTCCTCCCTAACTTCACTTGATTCGTACTCTGCATCTCGATCTCTTTCTCAGACTCCTTCCACACAACTTTCTCTTTCCCTTTCTTCCTTCTCTCTTCCGCTGAACCGGTTTTGTTCCACCCGAGCGTCACGTTCTTCTTCCTTCTCGTCGGTCTTGCCTTTAACTCAAAGTAATCCCTTTCTGAATCTCCAGCAACATCTCCAAACAAAACGAACTCTAACTCAGACAATTCCTTCTTCCTCCCCACAAAACTCTCATTCCGAGGATAAGGAAACTCCTCTTTCTCCGCTTTATCCCGCCACTTCGTTAACCGTTCCACTATACTTCTCCTACCTAACCTCATTGCCAACAACGTAACAGCCCTGAAAACACAGTCTCTCCAGTTACCTTCATGAGCTTCAAGCTTCCAATCATCAACTCGAGATAACCCGTGAACCGCTTCTTTCCATTCTTTCTCAATCCCTCCATACAAATCCCACAGTTCACCTCCATGTTTCTCCCACAAATCTCCTCTCTTTTCAACTATATCTCTCACAAGACAGTCCCCTGGAGATAAATCGAAGAAAACCGGGACCAGGTTCTTCTTGTTTGCGAAAAACCGAAGCTCCTCGATCGTGTATGGATTCTTGAACGCCTTTCTAGTCAGAATTATAACCCCGAAGGAAGCACCGTCCATGGCTCTCTCGACTATCCTCTGTTTCCGGGAACTCCTACACCTTCCTCTATCCGACATGAAACAACTCATCCCTTGAAACTCCAGTTCAGCTCTGAGCCAATCAGCAAACCTAAGCAGAGAAGGCTTCTGACCGTGCAATCCTAGGAACACATCACAACATCTCACCCTATTGTAAGAAACAGAGACCGAGGATGTCTGAGTATACGAAGACGAGTCATGCGCTCTTCCGTATCTAGAAGGTGTGTAGGAGATCACACTACTCGAAGCGATTCGATCAGCCTCAGGGTTCTGAGTTTGTGAAGGAGCGGCTAAAAATCCGAGCTCGGTGGGTTCTTGAAAGCCAGAGCTGGAGCTAAGAGGATCGAAGCTGTCACATTGAGCATCAGAGCGAGTTGATTCGGATAGTTCTTGTGGGATTTTGGGAGATCTTGGAGAGAAGAAAGGAGACTGATTAGCTGAGAAGAAAGCAGCTGATGAAGATGAAGACATGTTCCTAGAGGGCTTTGTCGGATATTGCCCGAACCTGGAACTGTCACCTCGAGAATCCATAACCACAAATTTTCCTTTATTGACAATCTATCAAATCCCATAAATGCAGCCTATGAATCCATTGAAGCCAATCTGATAGCAAACAAAAAAAGTCAAACAGCTGTTAACGCATAAGCAAGATTTTGGATTTTAGATTACAGAGTGAGCTTTAAAGATGCAAGATTTGGACAGACAAGGAGCCCGAGAAAAAGAAAGCTTACAGCTTCAAAGCAATATTGTGCATAAATTTGGTAAGAAATGAAAATTAAGCGGCTATGAAATCTCCAGAGTATATACTATACACCATAAGCTTTTTTTGAAATCTTGACATAAGTGAATAGTTACAGGATGGTTTCACACATAAGGCAAAAAAGCCACTTCCCAAATGAAAAAAAAAGGGAAATAATTGATTTGAGGACGTTGCAGATCTAAGCAGAAAAGGGAAATAAAATAATCATTTTTAATTTTATTGAAAAAAATGAAAAATGTATGATTTTTATTTTCTTTTTATTCGTACAGGGATTCAGATCTGAGAAACTTACATAGCTCGGCGTATTGAATAAACCATCAACAAGATCATCTTGAGCTCTTTTCTATCTTTCTCAGAATCAATTAAAACCCCAGGTACTTCAGAAGAATGATGAACCCTAAAAATCGGGTCTTTTCTGATTTTGGAAATGAAACAGAATCACTGGAATCTCTTTGGGTTTGATTTAAAACGACGTGTGTAAAGTCCTTGAAAAGAGTGTATCAATCAATGAGAAAGGAGTTGATAGTGAGATGTAGAGAGGTTTAAAGAGAGAATAAGAAGACGAATAACACTAGAGCTTTCATAGAGTAGTCGAATGCATCGCCATTTACAGATAGACTTGAAAAAGACTTTAATTTTTTTTTATTGGGGAGGGAGGGGTTGCTTAAAAAAAGAAAAATAATAAAACAGAGGAGACAAAGTTGAGGTATTTTTAATGGAACATTGAAGAAAAATCGAATTTTGATCAAAACCCAGAAGAGAAGAGGAAATGTTTCCTAATACCCTGAAGAGGAAACATCTAGCAAGCGTGGGGTTTTGGGGATTTTTGATCAAATTACCGCGAGAAGAGGAAACAATTAGAAGAAGAATTAGAATCGTTATTAGAGAGGCTTACCGTTTGAGTTTGAAGCACTGAGAGCAGCAGATAAATAGTAAGTTTTTCGAATATCCAGAGAAAGTAATTTTAGGGGTCTTTATCCGAAAAACAGAAACATGGGCACTGTCAAATCACAAAAAAGAAAAAAAAAACACAAAATCACACATAAACACACAAAGTCTCTCTCTCTCTCTCTTTCCCTCGCTGTCTCTCTCTCTCTTTCTATTTCAGAAAGATCTTCTATTGTTGTTCAAAAGGAAGAAGAGAAGAGACAGAGATTGGGAGAAGTGAAATTTCGAATTAAATGAATTTAAAAAAAATAAAAAAAGAAGAGAGAACTAGAATTGAGGCCTAAACGAAAGAGAGATCAAACTAGGTATGGCTTGTGGGCTCCTCATAACAAGTAATTTGTTATTAAACAGTCTTTTCTCTTCTTTTTTCAATTTGTTTTCTTGTTTTTTTTTTCTCTTCTCTTTTCTGAAATCTTCTGATGAACAATGTTTCCTGATAAGAAATTTTAATAAATCTAGTCTCCGGGTTTAAAATAAAAACAGAGGTTCATCATAGTCACGTCCCCCTCCAACCAGGATATGGCCGTCACTGTGCCTGCTATTTAGCTGATAAATATTTTTTTTTTGTTACATTATATCTTCAAATCTATTAACCTTGTTTTGTTGTCAAAAAAAAAAAAAAAAATCTATTAACCTTGTTTTGGCTTCGTATACATTTAACGCATTTATACAGCACTAAAAAATCGGATTGGACAAGCAACCACGCACAACGTTGTTGTTCACGAATGCTTATATTACAATAGTATGATTTTCTATTAATTGTATACATAGTTGTTGACATTGACAAATGATAGTATTAGTATATGATTTAAAATCTGGATGAAAGTTCATAGTTGACAACAAAATGAAACGTTGTGACGTGCTAGTGGTAGACCAAAAGCCATGACGTAGATATATCGTTGCATGAATTGTATGTAATTATATCCATCAGAAATTGAATATGGAATGGTAGGGCTTCATCAATAACAATATGAGACTAATTAAATAGATAAAAATTGTTTACTATTTTATTACTATTATGCTGATGGTTGAACCTTTGCATATATGGTTCCAGTACAATAAACAATCTATTATTTAATTATTATATGAATCATAAACATTCTACTATTTAGATCATTTCTTTGTTAATTTGGCTGATAACGGTCGGGTCAATTCAAATAGATAGATCACAGTATCACACGTTCCGTATAATGGCACGATAACATTTAAACATATTGTTATCGTTCGGTTTGATTTTACAATAGATTAAAGTGTGCGTCTTAATTTTTATTTGTTTACGTCAATATATTTCCAATCGATATAGCATTGATTTCATTCATACACTGTAATGTACAACTATTCAAATGATCTTAAAGATTTGTTTCGCTGTTTTATTTATACTAATTTAAATATAAAAGGTTAAAATACATCTTTGTAAATGTATAGTGCTAATCAAGGCTTTGTTTTAATCTTCTTTCAATAGGATTAGTTCGTGTAGGAATACTATTACGTACATTGATGCTTTTATTTCTTTAGTGAATAAGTTCATATAATTATATAGTTTGTTCGGAGATATCTGATAGAATCGGAATGACACAAAGAAAATTAACATAATGTTCTTACGTGATGACATGCACTAATTAAGAGATGGTCCAATGGAAATGGTGAATTAAAAAATTAACAAAAATGGTGATGAAAGATTTTCTTTGTGAAACGATAGATCATAAGTTTGATCACAATATAATTTCAACTATAGTTGGCTACGTTAAACATTTAAAATGGTAAAAAAATTCAGAGGTCTTTTACATGCCCTGCAATTAGTTTGAATTACGCTCCAAGATCATCCTCAATAAATAAACGAATTGATTAGACAATGAAATTTGGTTCGTAATTAGTATTAGACGTGTTCACGACCAATGCTTTTGTTGAGGGGTCAATGATTGAAGACGTAGACCTTCCCATGAACGCAGTTTAATTCTTTGCCTTTCGAAGCAATAATTGAATTTCTAAAATAGAAATGCCAATAAGTTGTGATTACGATATACTCCATGTATGCATGTATGTATGTATTGCTAAAGTCTTCAAGTTGGGAACACGGCTTTAATTTTTATTGATAAAAAAACGAATAACCTGATTTTGGGTCAATTACCAAAAAGTTTTAAATACACAACGAGTAGATGTATAGTCTAGTTTCAATAATGGAAGGTGTATTACAACACTTTTTTCAATGTATATAATTTTTAGGTCGAAATTCAGTCTAATTTTCAAAACTTATAAATAAACTACGTTTTTGTCACTTAAAGCATTTACAATAAATAACCATCACAATTGAAAATTTTGAATTTGATCATTCTGCTAACAAAATAAATCTTTCAACCAATACACCAACATGAATTGGTTTTGACATATGATTTGTTTTAACTGAATGTGTTTCCATTATTGAGGTTGCTTTGTCCAAATCACAACCCGACTGAGTTCTGATAAATTTAATAATGAACTAATGTCTACCCTAACTCAACTCTTGAGAAACTAAGATGGTTACAAAAATTAAGATATGAAATTAATAATAATACATCATAAGAACAATAGTCTTGTTTTGATACCATACAGTTTTTTGGGAGTAACAAACAACTCAATGATATGTGCTGTTATTATGGTACACCGAATGATGTTTGATGTTTCTCTCGTTGCTTCCCAAGTCTGTCCAAAAGACAGTTTTGTATGTACATGCTCGCTCCCCACGTGTCCTCACGTGATTTTAACGTACGGTCCCGATTCCTTCATCACTCCATTTTCACAAGTGTCATCCACGGCTTCAAATTAGCGCGTCTCCAACACTCGCCCTGCAAAATTAGAAAGTGATCTAGTTTAGAAGCTAAGTCCGATCGAGGCACATCCTTATGAAACCATGATTGGGTTAAACCATGATTCTCCAAAAAAAAAAAAAAAAAAGATAGCTGGGACAAACCAAAAAGAGTAACCTCAAATGAGCACTCTCAATTAGGGAGCTTGACTAAACTATAATTCACCTTTCAATGTCAAACTCCAAAACCTTTTTTTTTTGGTGCGAAGTCAAACTCCAAAATGATAACAATTTTCTTGTTGAAATTTTGAGAGGACCCATTTGCGAGAAGGGCAATTATTAGTAGTAAAAATGTGAAATATTATACTGTATACAGAGCAGAAACATACAACGAAAGCGTCCAATTTGTACATGTACTTACGATAATACAACATCAACATGACTGATTGACTTTTTGGTAATAGTAAAATAAAATAAATAAAGAAGCAGAAATATGGAATTTACTATTACCAAAATTAATTTACATTGTAGTACCACGGATTAGTTGCATAGAGTAAAACAAAGGTGTGAACTTAGATCCTTTTTTCTATGTGGTTTGGTGGCTGTGGCTCTGCTCAGAGAGTTCTGAAACATAGAAAATTGTTCTGAGACACCAATATCGCAATGTAAAGAGAGATAAATGTTACTTCATGTCTAACAAAACATATCGTTTTTTTTTATATAGTGATGGACTTGCAAAATGACATATTTCTTCTTTTTTTTTCTAAGAGCATCTCCAATTTACAAGTTCATTTTTAAAATTTTTATTTTAGAGTAATTTTAAAATGGAGTTAGTTTTACTTTAATCCTATATTTACTCCAAAACTGAGTGAAAAAATATGGAGTAAACCTATTTGTTACTACATAGGAGTTACTAGTTAATGATGGTCTAAGACTTCGCACACTGCTTAATATAACTAATATAGCTAATAATATGTCGGTAATTAGTAATTGATTTGCTATTTCGATAAATTTTGCAGTATTAACATCCATACACACGATACCTCAAATTGGAGCATGTGAATTTGCTGCAAACATTTTCTTGCAAACAGTTTGTACATACAATAGATATTATTATGTACAGTTTAACTATGTCCCATATTATTATGCACAGTTTAACTGTCCCATTTTCTATGATTTGACGCAAATGTAACAGTCACAAATACTATTGATTTCAACATCGTTTCAACATAAAATTCATAATCCTTGGATCAAATTGTTCTCGTTAAAGTCACACATGTTTGCAAATGTAACAACATTGTTTGGTCTAAATCAAAAAGAAAAAAGACATGTCATCTAACGACCGACAATAATATATAGAGGGTGTGAAAAGAATTAAATACAAAGACTATCTAATTAGCTCTCTTCTTTAAATAATAACACACCATGTCGACAAACGGCACGTTATGCTCCAAATTTCAATCACAAAGATTAATTAATTAGTTAATCTTGCTAAAATTTTCTTTCTAAAGTGTAAATTAAATAAACTATTCCTATATATCTTCATTTCTACCACTTAATGCATTGACAGTGTTGTCTCCTCGTGGCTTCTGATAATTGTTTACAAATTTATTACCTTTTCTTGAGTCTCTGTACTCTTTACACTGAGAGTCTGAGAAGGTTATGGTGAAACTCAAACCGGTCTGAAACAAAACTAAACCAGTAAAACCACCTTTTGCATAATTGAAATGGTTCAGATTTGTTTTACAGTTTTATTTCCTTTGCCAAAGAGTTTCAAAGTAAAAGGTTTATAAAACATCTACTAAATTTCAAGAACTACTTTCTCCTGATTGTGAATCGGTAAGCTTGGCGCTGAAATCCCAAACCTTCTTGGCCAATTCTGAATCTTTGGCAAGTGATAATGGTTTAGCAATGTTGCTATCTAAGAAGTATTCCCCTGTAACCCCTGCAACCTGAGGATGCAATGCCACATAGCAAGTTGTTGCCGCCCCCTAAAAAGTCGAATATTCAACATGATAAACCAGATAACCGACACACCAAATCAATACATAAAGCTAGACCGGTCTATCATTAACCAGCACCAGTTCACTCTAAGAATGTAACTTAACCGGAAAAACCGTGTGACCGGTTTCTAACTGATTGGTTATTAGTGGGAGGTTTAGAAATTAGAAGCATACCTGCGGAACAGTCTTGAGCACATATTTAGCCACTGCACCAACAGCTCCTGCATTAAGCGACACAGAGGATCATAAACAAATCAAAGTATATATATTCACGTTTGTTTATGTGTGTAACCTTAAAAAGCATTGTTTGATAATCATGGAATCAGAGAAAAGAAGTTACCAGCCAAATAGCTGTTGAAGTAGCGGCCGAGATTTGTCATAATGGCTCCAGGATGAAGTGAATTTGCTGTTATATTGGCTCCATCTTCCTGTTTTTATTCATACCAGAGTTGAACCAAGATTAACATGGAAACATAAATTATTGATAATGATAGATCTTTTTATTTTGTAGTTACCTTCAGTTGCTTTGCAAGCTCGTTGGCATGCAATACATTGCAGAGTTTAGATTGTCCATAAGCTCGCATACTACTGTAACTGCAGTGGAGACCAAACCAAAAAAAAGAACAAATATTAGAATCTGAAGAAATGGCGGGATCAAAGAATTACTATTTTGTTCACCATTAGTACCTTGACTTGTCATTGATCTTATCAAAGCGGACTCCTTCTGGGTATGAGAACCGATGAGCTTCTGATGATAGGTTAACGATCCTGCCTTCTCTGTTGCTTTCACGTGATGTGTTCTTCATTGTATCTAGCAGAAGTTTCGTCAGCAAAAAATGTCCTGAAACATAATTGGATCACAAAAATCCATGGCACTGATTAGAAGCTAATGATGAGATAAACCAAATTACAAATTTAAGCCAAAGCAATACCTATGTTACTCACCTAAATGATTGGTTGCGAATTGCAGCTCGATGTTGTCCTTAGAAAGCATAAAAGGACATGCCATTATCCCTGCGTTGTTGCTAACCAAAAAATTGAGAGAATTCAAAACATTAACCATCAACGACTCCCAATCCGGCTATTACATGAACCACAGTGTTTTAATAGCTTACATCAAGAGGTTGAGTGGAAGACCAGCAGATTTGTAGTCAGACGCAAATTTTCTGACGGATTCCATTGAGCTGAGATCTAACTCCATGACATCGAGTTTAGCCCCAGGTACTTGTTTGACAATATCTTGCTTAACTTTACCACCAGAGCCAGTGTTCCTCACAGCCATAACCACATGCACACCACGCAGTGCAAGAACACGCGCTGTCTCTACTCCTATACCGCTTGATGCTCCTGAACACATGAACACAGACAAAAGAAAACTTGAGGAACCAAACAAGCACTCCAGAAAGCTTAATATTAGCCATGTCAATACCCTGATACGCTGATACAGAAGATTTCACTCATGCATGTGTCTAGTAATACACCTAAGAACTCAATATACCACGAAATGAAGCAACACTTCACATACAAGATACTACACAAAAATTGGCTTGATCGATGCTAGACTCGAATTTCTATGCAACTTTTGATGTCTTTAACTTCACCAACTTTTGTTTAAGCCTTAAGAATTCGGTTGTTCTTGCTTCAAGGGTGATCTCAAAACGATTTCAAGTAAGTTTCTGTTTTTTTCCTTTTCTCTGTATAGATTGTGGTATATATAACACAAACTATAACCAGCAGGAACAGAGACATGTTAGCAGATCTGAAGTTATTTTCCCATTCAGGCAAATGGTCCCAAACATGTCGTACATTGAATTCACCAGAAAAAGAAATAATCCAATTCAAGAGAAGCTCTTTAGAAGAAGTTTGGCAAAGAATGATTGTAACTTATTGACAATAAAAAAAGACAACTTTCGAACAACAAACAGTGAAGACCTCCGTACATATGTGTTGACCGAACCAAAGACAAAACCTGATCATGAAAACCCCAAAATCGACTCAATTATACTAAGTGTAAAAACAATGAAAGTCAAATCTCTTGCCTACAAGTGAAACAATTCAAAGACAGAAGACCCAAAATCGGGAGATAATAGAATTGTCAACATAATTAAACAAACCCAATTCGTGAAAGCGCAGAAAAAAAAAAATTGTGATTTAAAGAAACCTGTGACTATGGCAGTGAGGCCAGTTCCGTCAATTCCATGTGTGACTTCCTCTGCAGTGGAACGAGACGAGAATCCAGATGCTCCTTTCGATCCAAAAAACCACATCTTTGCTTCGTGTTTTTTTTTTCTTCTGGAAAGTGGAGAAGATGAGAGAGTAGTTAACGTTTTCTTCTCGAGTGGTGGAGCGATTTTCGTTTTAATCTTAATTTTTTTATAAAAACTGAGTAACTTTTCGTTCATATGCGAAATGTGATTTACTTTAATGAAAAAGGGAAGAAGGAAAGTTACATTTCGCATAACCTTTAAAGTGTGATTAAACTGAGTAATTTTTGAAGTCTTGCCACAGAGATTAGAATGGACCATGGCCAAGGCCAGTACTTAGACGAAGATTGAACTGAGAAATTGGGAGGGGCCGCGCGAACGCAGGCCCCCACTGCCACAAATAATGACGCAGGCTCTTCCACTTGGGAAGACCTTAGGCTAAGCACCCTTCCGATATGTGCAATGGAAGTCACTAGCCTAGGCCACTCGTCTTCTTGATCACGAGTTGACCCCGTCCAGGTAAGTACCTTCCACAGTTCGACCTTTGTCTTGTTTTATACCACGCTACACACGAGTGTCCTATGTTGAAGTTCCGATGTGGGAGTAAGAACATCTAACAACTAGTATAGGCAGGGTTTCGTTATTTTATTAGACCCAGTTTTTGACATTGATGAGCCTTACACAATGAATATAATTCCGGCCCATATCAAAACTTATTTGATAATTGAGGTTTGTCTATTTCTTTTTGTAAAAATTTGTCACTCAAAAGCCGAAGGCTTTTCAACAAAGAGGACCTTATCTTTTGTCACTAGGAAAGGATAGCCGAGAGACAAAGATTCTCTTAACCAGTTAACCTCAAAGCGCACCATCAATGTCTCTAATAATTTTGAACACCACTGACATTTTATCATTAAATTTTTTTTTTTTTTTAAAGTTGCGATTCTTGTTATTGTCATTCACTTGACTTCAACACATCCACTTGACACAAAGATGAATTGACTTTTCCATATACAGTACACATGTATTTGAATCTTCCAATAAAATTCTACGAAAAAAAATGCTTCAATATCGGCTGTTAATGTTGAATAAGTCAAACGAAAAGAAGAACCGGTCCCAACAATAATGGAGTTCCCCAACTTCGACGCATGCTTCTTTTCTTTTTGGGCTCATCAAATGCAAACAGACATAATCAAAAAAAAAATATGTTTAGTTGCTACTAAGAGCTAGAAACACGTTACACATGTTGGCCCTGGTGGTTCTAAGTTCTAACTCAAAGTAACCCTTAATTAAAAACTTTTACGTAACCAAACAGAAAATGTAGTATCTTCAACGAGGATTAACACTGGTGATTGTTGCCTCATCTACCGAACAAGTAAAAGACTTGCTAGCAGATTGACTCGATTGACCTGATGAGTTCAATCCTGGTCCATTTGGGAAGAAAAATCCAGGTGGCCTAGGCAGAGGAAGAATAAGTGAACTGTTTGTGAGCATCTGGTGAATCTTCGACATTGATGGACGATCCGCAGGATTTTCTTGAACGCATAATAATCCAATATGGATACATCTAGTGATTTCATCCTTTTTACACTCTTCTACGATACATTCTTCTTGTATGCCGGGATCTATGAGTTCAGTCAATGAATTGTTCTTCCAAAGTTTCCAGACCTGTAATTTCAGATTTATGATCATTATTTAAAAGAATCAAACACAAAGTTTGAGACTTGATTTGTTCATAAAATGCTTACATATGTGACTAAGTTGTTTACTGAACTATCAATGCGGTAGAAGCTGCTGTTCTTCTTGCCACTAATGATTTCAAGTATCAACACTCCAAAGCTATAGACATCTGATTTCGTCGAGAATTGGCCATGTGTTACATACTCGGGAGACATGTAACCGCTGCAAAACACATGCAATAATGTTTCTGTTTAATCAGCTAAAAAGAGGGTTTGTTGATCCTCTTCAGTTTCAGAAGTATATACACTTACAAGGTTCCAACTACCCTTCTTGTATTTGCTCCACCTTGGTCCATTTCAAAGGTTCTTGCCATTCCAAAATCAGAAATTTTGGGATTCATGTTTGCATCTAAGAGAATGTTACTAGCCTTAAGGTCACGATGTATGATTGTTAGCCTTGAATCTTGATGAAGATATAGTATCCCTCGTGTGATCCCGTTGATGATGTTGTGTCGCACTGTCCAGTCTAACTGAGCTCTCTTCAGAGAGTCTGCATATTCAAATGTTACCACACTAGCTATATTTGCAAGAGATTAACACCTTAAGTATAAGCCAAGTTAAAGAAAGCATACCAAATAAGAAAAAATCGAGGCTTTTGTTGGGAACAAACTCATAGACGAGTAACTTCTCTTCTCCTTGTAGCGAGAACCCAAGAAGCCTAACAAGATTCCTGTGCTGAAGCTTTGCAACAACAACAACCTCGTTCTTGAACTCTGTTTCACCTTGTACTGATGTTTTCGACAGTCTCTTCACCGCAACTTCAGTTCCATCTGGGAGCACACCCTTGAGAAAGAAATATTTACAGATGTTGAGTATATCTTTTTTCACTGTTTGTGAACCAACAAAGAGGGTAATTACCTTGTAGACTTCGCCAAATCCACCTTCACCTAGCTTGTTACTCTCAGAAAAGTTGCTCGTTGCAACTTCAATCGTCTTTAAATCGAATTGTACAGATTCAGCTTCATTTAAGACCAACATTAAGCTTGTCAAATAATGTTCCTAAAGCTGTGAGAAGACCAAAACCAATATTCAGTGGTATGAAAGAAAAAAAAGGAACTTACATTGAAGTGTAGTATCTTGGTTTTGCTTTCTCCTCTTGAAAATAACTACTCCTACCGCAATCAATAGTAATGTAATGACGATAACAATAACAATTGCTGCCACAATTCCACCTGAGATTCTTTTATCTGCATAAAACCCAATTCACCAAAAACATAAATAACACAAAGCCAAAACTTGTGAAAAATCTGCTCTGAAAATGTTACCAAAAGGACTTGCCTTTTTTGGTTATATCGGTCACGTTGGCTGCAGAAGGCGGCGGTGAAGAAGGAGGTGAACTTATGTTATTAGCACTATCAAAACCACCAGAGAAAGTATACAATTCCCACCGGAAAAAGCAACTTGGCCGCAATATAATGCAGCCTCTCTTCCCATTATACCATATCTTGTAGTAATCAACGCTTCTCTGTAGACAAAGTTTACAATCCTCAGAAGTAACATCTGGAGTGCATTGCATCAACACGTATATTCTCCCGTAAACCGGCACCGGAGCTCCATCCTTTGCATAGTATTTACTACTAGAAGAAGATAAAGAAGTAGACGAATTGTTTCTCACCGACGAAGAAGCTACTCCGATCATACGAGACATTAAACCATCCCACACACTATAAAATTCGTTCTGGTCTTCTTTACTTATGTCCTTGTAATTGAAATACACATTATACGGCTCCAAGACGAGGACCCCGGAGAAGGATTTGTTACCGTAGCGAACAAGGCAGACGATCTCTTGACCAGACCATGAGAAAGCCTCTGTCTGGTTCGGGCAGATCTGTAGTAATTGCTTGGATGCGTCTTTGATACAGTAAGAGCAATCTTCTGATGCAGCACCTGGAGCACACATCCCCATGGCGTAGATGCGGTCCGGGCCAAGCCCGATGGAGCCGTTGAAGTAGCCGTGGTGAGCCGTGACGTTAGAAGGCAGAGCAGAGAGGATGAGATGTCGGTTCTTGTCATATGGACTGTTGGGTTTGAAGTTCCCACCAGTGTTGTCACAGTTATCATTTTGTGCTGAAACAGAAATGGCACTGAAGCTTATGGTTAAGAAGCAGAGGATTGAAACAGAGCTCTTCTTTCCCATTTTTTGTTTCTTTTGATAATGCAGATTGTATTTTTGTGTTGAAATGTGAGGATTTTATCAATTTATCATGATCTTTGAATATTACTCTTGAAGTTGAGGTGACTATTCGCTGTACTAATAAATTGACATTGACTAGTTTGGATTTCTGCGGAGTGTGCAAGACTTGTAGACCCTCTAAGTCGTCGTTGATATTTTGGTCTTTTCCTATAAAGCAAACTAACAAGAAATATTGATCGTTTATGTTTGATTATATTAGTCAACTAATTCGCCTGATTCCAACAAAAAATCAACCATTATCATTACGCCAACATAAAATTTTCTGTCATATATCACAGTTGTTATCATTTTCGACACTGAGTTTGTGGTTGAGAATGTTGGAAAAAACGTGCTACCATTATTTACAAGTTTTCAATAACTCAATTTTACCAATTTATTTACTATTTCGCTAGTTAATTAAATCTTCTTTTAGTGGTTAATGAATGAAATGATTTTTTTTTATTCATATATATATAAACAATTTCCAGTGATTTCCAGTCACTGTTATTAAAGACAATTTTTTTCCGTAATTACACTGAACATTGGAAATCAGTGGCATAGATCCCAACATTTGCCAGTGAGTTTCTCAAGCTTTTAGACCTTTAAACATAAAGAAAATAAGATTTTGGAAGTCCTTGGCATATATGTGGCGCTTCTTTTTTTCTTCAGATCTGGGATAAGAAACTAAATTTTAATCTTAGCCTATGTTTCACAGATGTCGCAGGCAAAGGGGATCTCAGCCTTCAGTTTTACGCTAAGCACCTTTCCTCTGGTCAAGGGGTAACCACAGAGAGACAGCCATTACTTAGACGAAGATTGAACTGAGAAATTGGGAGGGGCCGCGCGAACGCAGGCCCCCACTGCCACAAATAATGACGCAGGCTCTTCCACTTGGGAAGACCTTAAGCTAAGCACCCTTCCTGTATGTGCAATGGAAGTCACTAGCCTAGACCACTCGTCTTCTTGATCACGAGTTGACCCCGTCCAGGTAAGTAATTTTCACAGTTCGACCTTTGTCTTCTTTTATACCACGCTACAGACGAGTGTCTTATAGCAAACCTTCCGATGTGGGAGAAACAATATTATCTACTGTGTATTAGAGTTTAGACAGGCTTTGGTTGTTTGATTAATCATGTTTTAGACATTGATCGGCCCTCACTCTGGCCCAAGAGAACCCATTTGAGATTTGAGTGATGGAAAAGTTTTAACAGCGAAAATAGGGTAGAAAATGCTAAATTAGGGCCATCTACTCTTAATGATCTAGCCAAAATGCTAAATTAACTAATGGAACATTTGTAACAGCAAAATAGGGTAGAACTTTCATTAACAAAAATTTAGGCTCTATACAAAATATTTCCAAATTAGAGGCCAAGAAGCTTAACCGTGAAATTCGAAACATTACATTAGTATTCTTCAGTAATACCGATCTCTCCCATGCCACCACCTCGACCTACATTCCACACACACACACAAAAAGAATTTGGTTGCATAAGAAAAGAGAACCATCAATCTATAAACGTACATTTAATGAAAATAAGATGAAGATGATTACATTTTTTTTTTGTAATTATTGAACTCTAGAGAGTTAATAATAAACAAATTAAATCTCACCAGGATTGTTCCCATCCAGGCCGAGACTTGGACATGCCGTAACGTCCGTAAGGGAAACCGTAATTCTGAGGGCGTTTGGCGTTTTTAAACGCGCAACAACCAACGCAGTAAACGGCGATGAGGAAGAGAACAATGACGACGTTAACTATAGAGAGTTTATGCCAATCGCGACGCACAGTCTCTAAAACGCCAGCTCTACACGAGTCGCAGTCGTAACAGAGCACCGTCGCGGCATTGTTCCACCGGTAACAATCGGAGTCTTGCTGTACCGGCGTCTCCGTGTTGTAAACGCACGACGTCGGTGGTTTGCAACATCCAGACTGTTTCACAAAATCGAATATTTTTTATATCTTGAATTAACATGAGCACAATTATATTTTAAACAATAGCCGATTAACTATGTTGATTATGACAAAATTGTAGTGGTTTATTCATTAGTTTACTATTGGCGAAATGATCCATTTTAAAAACTATAGATTAACTATGGTTTTTGTGTTTGTACTAAATTTTCAAGTATTAACATAATGAGATCATATACCCAACGGATTAACCAGCTGCGTAACTGATTAGTTGATTAATTGTACTGACTATGAAAAAATTGGAATTTATAATTGTTAGATAATCATCCATCAATTATCAAAACATATATAGATTAGAATGAGTACCTGAAGAGGAGTCAAGTCCTTTTGGAGATAATCAAGAGGAGTCCAAAGAGAGAGCTTGGAACAAGTGAGTGAGCCCAAGAGACAAGTCTTTATAGTCAACCAATAATTAGCATCCATAACTCTTGTCTTAAGCCAAGGATGATATCCTTCAAGCTTAAACTCTTTATAAACCCTACCAGTCACACCCACACCACCACCATGGCTAGTCACTATGAACCCAAAAAGGGTCAAACCCATGAGCGCAACTATGATGAAGACCATGAAGAAGAGGTACACCCATAAGACCCAAGCCACTTCACAACACGCACCGATCAGGCCGGCTAGTGACAAGACCAGGATCGCTAGGCCTAAGATCAGAAGTGGCTTCTGAAGGAAATGCTCGCATGTTGTCTTGCTCTTACCCATCCATAGAGCTGATCCTATTAGAACTATGGAGGAGATTAGTGTTAGGATGTTCAAGAACCCTATCACTGTATTGCTCATTCTGTTCATTTTCACCCTCTCTCTCTTTTTCTTATTCAAATTTTGGAATGATTCTGAATCTTTTTGTGTGTGAGTGTGTTTGTACTATATAATGTTTTTTTCTAGCTGGCTTGTATCTTAATCACATATGCTTCAGGTACTTTTTACTTGAGAACTTTTTTTATATAGTAAGATATGAAAACAATGTTGTTGGTATATTACACATCCACACGTATATATGATTGAATTTCAAATAAATAAATTTAGAGAAAAAACAAAGGAAAAAAGGTGATGAAATTATTCTCTTATCTTTTTATCTAATTTCTTGGTGTTTGCTACTTTTTATGTAACATTGTATGTGTCTTCACTTGCTTTAGTTTCGCCGCTTTTAAAATATTGATGAGTGGCTTTACCTTTTTCTCAGTTGATTTATCGTAGATGTGGATCTTTATATCATATCAATTCAAAATGTTGGTTGAAGAGTCTTTTTCTTAAATATAAGTTTTCTGTTCTTTTTTGTTGGAACTTGGCGATTAAGAAACCTCTATGAGTTCGACTATCGATAAAAAAGAGTCCATACTTGACTCAGTGGGATCATAAGCCAAAACTTCTTAACCATTAAGTAACTTTTCCCGCCCAACCTTTATATCATTTTTGCTCATGTATTAATCTAAAGTTGAATATACGTGGCCAAAATGATTTAAACTGTGAACATTTAAGATAAAACTTTCAACATTATCAACTCAATTACATCATCATCGTTAACTTCCAACATTATCAACTCAACTCAATGCTAATCAACTTCTTTTTTTTTCTTGTCACAATCAACCTTTTTTCTTTTCTTGATCCACTGGATCACCATTGTTAATTTTCACTGGGCACAGGGATTAGCTAGAAAGTTTAAGGTGTTCCAAAAAAAGAAGTAATAAACAAGTCTGATCATTATCTGTTAGATAAATATAAATGAATAATTCGAGTAATAATATATGAACAAACGCATTCTCTTACGGTCAGAGCTGAACACTCACACTTTGATGGCCCATCACTGTCTTTACTCATCAGACTTCAGCACAGTTTTGCCTACCACGATACCAGTGGCTGCATCAAACATGTGAAAGATATTACTAGATCTGGTTCTTTGATTCTCTTACCGGAACTCTACCATGTGGATTAGAACCAAGCATTTCAACATTGAGAGCTTAAGTCCAAAGAACTAGAACCTGAGTGGCTTCTATCGATGCTCCCTAGTATTTACCTGGCCTTCTAAAAAAAAAGGAAGGAAAGATTCAGCAAATTTTTCTTTCTTACAAACAAGCCTGACTTAAGACCGATAGGAAAATCCTATTTCATGAGTTTCATCCATATTAAATCAGTTCTAACACAGAACCAAAATACTTTGAACTTAATTTCACTTAAAAAAAGAACCTAGAACTGAAACTGTGATAAACTAATAAGATAATGAAAATCAAACAAAGAATAAGACTCTGAAAGAAGAAGAGGAAGAATACCTGCGATGATGACGGTAGCATTAGTTCAGTTCGGTCTAGAACTTTGAATCAAAGTTTATCAGATGTTCTGTTAATTAATTTCTACAAAGTATTTAAGAACACATGCACACAATTTTACATTTTATTAACTTATGTTTAATTTCTACAGTGTTAGCATACCTGTCCAGTTCCATATCGTCTCAGTGATATACAAACAGGATTCTGAGCATAAACCATGTAAGAAAATGTAGTGTAACAAGATACAATTCCATTGACATAATTACTTGCACATATACAATACAAACGTAACAAGATACAATTCCATTGGTACATAATAAATTATACATACAACTTTACAAGACCTAACTCCAGTGGTAGAATAAGAAATAAAAGGAATGCACATAGAATTAAAAGATTGATACACTTTAAGCTTGGTGATGATTCGAGTCGATCATAGAATACGTCCGGAGATTTATCTCTTAGACTTAAAAGGAATGGCTCTAATGACTATCTGATGGTACAGAGCAGCAAGAGCAGCACCAATGAATGGACCGACCCAGAAGATCCACTGCAGACACAGAAAACAGAAGAAACCAACAGATCAAACAGAGGAGCTTCAGATTCAAATCTAAAATAGCAACTCAGGTATCACACTTAGCACAACCGTTGATGTGATTAAATAGGAACTTTTTTTTTTTGGTTAAAGATTAAATAGGAACTTACATGGTCGTCCCAAGCATGATCCTTGTTGTAGATGATGGCAGCTCCAAGACTCCTTGCCGGGTTAATGCCGGTTCCAGTGATTGGAATAGTGGCCAAGTGAACCAAGAAAACAGCAAACCCAATTGGAAGCGGAGCCAAGATCTGCGGGAATGTTCAGTGACCACAAACACACATCATTAACGTTCATTTTCTCGGACTTTTTGCCTATGTGAGCGAAAAGCTAACTATCTCAACAAGCAGAGTAAAGAAATTAGCAACATACAGGGACATGGGAGTCTCTGGCACTTCTCTTGGCATCAGTAGCAGAGAAAACAGTGTAGACAAGAACAAAAGTGCCAACAATCTCTGCACCGAGACCTGAACCCTTTGTGTAGCCATGAGCCACCACGTTAGCTCCACCGCCATTTGCCTGGTACGGTCCTGATTGAAAACCCTTGACCACACCAGCACCACAGATAGCTCCAAGGCACTGCATTACTATGTAGAAGACAGCTCTGGTTAAAGACAGCTTCCTCGCCAAGAACAAACCAAATGTCACTGCCGGGTTAATGTGTCCTCCTGTTTTTTTTTTTTATTACAAAACACAATTCCCCAAAAAAGTCAGAATCAAATGCTTTATCCCTCAAAAAAATTCCAGATGTCGGAGAATTAACCAAAATTGGGGACCCAATTAAAACCCTAACCTGAGATTCCGGCAGTACAGTAGACAAGAGCGAAGATCATGCCGCCAAAAGCCCAAGCGATGCCTTGGATTCCGACGGAGGCGCACATGTTGGGAGCTCTTTTGACGCCCATGACTGTCAAAACGGTGATGTAGAGGAAGAGGAAAGTGGCGATGAACTCTGCAATGCCGGCTCTGTAGAAAGACCAAGATTTGAGCTCGCCGGGCTCGAAAAGCGGCGCCGGAGGTGGTTCTTGATAGTCCTTGCTCTCCGTTTGCGCCGCCGTTCCGATCGGCTGCCTCTCCGGGAACTTGTTGGCTCCCACATTCACGTCCTCTTCTTTGCCCTCCATTGTTTCTCTTTCTCTCACTCTAATGGATATGAGAGGAAAGTGAAACGATGAGGCTCTGTTTTTATAGTTGGGTCCATTTACGCCAAAATTAAATTAAATAATTATATAGATTTGAACAGTTTTCATTTGCAAGCTAATCATTGGCTAATTTCCAAATCTTCTTTGTTCCTTTAAATTTTTTTTTTTTTATATCTTTTTTGGTTATTCATCATACGAACTTGTCTTCTGAATAATTTCAGTATGATAAACCATGTTGATTGCAATGGTTTAATAAGAGACTCGCACACAAGTCTGTTTTGATGTCTTGGGCATAGTTAAGGTTAAAATGATTTTTACAATAAAATTTTGGGTAGGTAGGTGAAATGGACTGGACAACAGCGAAAACATATATATGGACCAATCCAACGTAATGAAGTGGACATAAAATTAAGCAACTGCTCTATAATTTGCTAAAACAAAATATATTACAACTCAAATGATGTGGACATATCCAACATTATGTCTCTTCTATCAATTATATAAAGGATATATAAATATAATTATACACCTCACATCGATTGTCCATATATACTGCCCTACGATCAGTGTAGTCATCGAAAATATTGATGATGCCCTTATCTACCACTGCTTCATCACTATCACCTCAAATTGTTGTATGTGTCATAATAGAAACTAAAACTCCTACAACATTTCACATTAAAAAAAAACTCCCCCCAGTATTTAAAGTATTTTACACTCACCTTTTGTCTTTCTAACTTTATTGATTAGTGTTTATTTAATCCTTTCTTTGAGATACTTTAATCAACACAAGAATACAACGAATAGTGTCTTAATTACAGTTTGTCAATAACTTGCACTTACCATCCACATAAAGGCAAGAGACAGCCACTTGTCAGTCAAAGTTTAAAGGTTCCTTGTTGGTTTTAATGGTTTCAGATTTTTTTTTTTTAATTAATGTTTTCATATTAATGTGATACCATAAACATAGTTTTTCTTTGTTTTGGTTAAAAAACCTTACACTATATACAGTTGATATGCCTCATCCATATTTTTAAAATATATATTTTCAGATCCTTGATTTTCCATGAGCTCCTCCAAAAAGCTTATCCTGCTAATGTTGTCAACTATAACCCTCATTTTAATTACAGAGAGTCAAAGAACAATACTATCGGAAGAGGAGAAACTACTCAACCATATTAACAAACCTGCAATAAAAAGTTTCCAAGTAAACTTAACTTTTCTTCTCTTAAATTTCCATTATTTCCATAAAAATTGTTAAAGAATTGTTGAGCGATGAAGTATCAAGTAGCAACGGGGAATGAATTTATATGTCGTAAGAGATTGTTTGACTAGCTTATATGACTTTGTAGGAGCGATGAAGTACCAAATTTTAAACAATACAATTTGCTTTTTTTTTTCTTCTCAGAACATATTTGATTTTGTATAGCTATATAATAAAAGCTACATGTTCTATATTTGATTTAATAAAACTACATCTTCTATATTTGATTTCGTAAATGTTAGAATTTTTTTAATAATTTTGGGCCTAAATTACACCAAATTTTTGTTGGGGTTTATCAAGAGTCTTGGACAATGCATTGTGGAAAGAAAAAGCTGAATGGCCACAACTTTTAACTTCATTGTGGGACCCTGTTATTTTATCAAAATCACATATTTTCCTTCACATCAAAATTTTGTTTTGCCTTATATTTCGACAGACCGAACATGGTTTTATATTCGACTGCATCGACATTCAAAAGCAGCGAGCCTTTGATCATCCTTTGCTCAAGAACCATTCTATTCAGGTTTTATTCTACAAGACACAAGTAAAAGCAACTAAAGATCTTTTTTTTTTGTTTTTTTTGTTTTCCTTTCTAAATGGTTTGAAATATCATACACATGCAGTTGAAGCCTACAACTATACCTAAATGGACCAGAGATAACACCACCTCTAAAAGATCTAGCTCTTTGCCATTTCCACAAGATGGCATAACTTGTCCTGTTGGGACAGTGATTGTTAAAAGAACTACACTTGAAGAGCTTAAACAAACTCAACGTTTGAAATCAGTAGGATTCTACCGTCCAACTTCAAAGTACAAGAATGAAATAACTCATCGTGTAAGAATCACTTCTTGTTCACATAGTTGAGACCCTAACACTCTAACTAATTGTGCTTATAATATTTTACTCTCTTTCTCTTTTGATATTCTTAGTATGCCTTTGGTGATTACCAATATAAAAATTACGGAGCAAAAGGAAACATTAATGTATGGGATCCGCCAGTCTTACATGGTCAATTCAGCCTTGCAAGTATCTCTGTTGCGCGCGGCTCTTGGGAAAAATTACAAAGCATCTCAGCTGGATGGATAGTAAGTCAATCCAATATTTACTTAACAATTTAAAATTCCCTATAAAATTGCAATTTGAAAAAAAAAGAATGTATATATCCCCCCAGGTGTACCCATTCCTGAACCAGAGTCATAGTGTTTTGTTCACTTACTGGACTGTAAGTTTTTTAAAAATAACAAAAATTAGGTATTCATAATATGGTCTAGCTTCAACGGTTAAATCAAATTTTTTTTTTTAATTTTAAATTGGAAACAGGCCGATGGGTTTGACAAGACAGGTTGCTACAATACAAATTGTCCTGGGTTTGTACAAGTGAGCAAAAAGTTCGCTCTTGGAGGTCTTGTCAAACCACTTTCCACTTATGATGGTCAACAGTACCATATAGAAGTCAGCTTGTCTCAGGTATATAGCACCAAGTTTTTCAAATTCTCTCACATTCAAAAGTTGAAGTTATGTAATAGTTAAGAGCTACAAAATTTTTTATTTGATTTTGACCTCTATAAAACTTAAAAAAAAAAAACAGAAGCAAAATATAATTTGAATCGCCACTTATCGTAAGAGGTACTGCTTTTGGTTTAAGCAGGATCCTATTACTGGAGACTGGTGGTATTTGCTAAGGGACGAGCCAATTGGGTACTGGCCTAGATCATTGTTCAATGTTGAAGGTTTATCTAATGGAGCAGGTGTAGCGTTTTGGGGAGGAGAAGTTTTCAGTCCAGCTAAAGAGAAGAGCCCAAGCATGGGAAGTGGATATTACCCACACGAGGGTTACAAGAAAGCTGCTTATGTGAATGGTTTTAAAGTGATCGATCATTTTACAGGAAAAGTTAAAATTCCAAAAGCTTCAACTATAGATGTATTCGCAGACTCCCCAAACTGTTATGACGTTAAAAAGAATATAGGTAAAGGTTATTGGTCTAGAGCTATCTTCTTTGGAGGACCTGGAGGATGCACATATAGTTGAACATGTCTTTTAAATTATTTATGCATTTAAGTCTATATATCCTCTGTTTTTTTTTGTGTTTTAGTTTAAAAATAAAACGAATATTTGATAAGATACATATGTTGATATGATAACAAAAGAATGATATTCGTGGTCCATTCGAAGGTGATACTGCTCTATCGGAACATGATAAAACATCGGCGTCACAAATAAGACTCAAATTGTGACCCCAAAACTCTCCTTTGGGTTCTTGCTTTTTCTTTTTCTTTTTTTTTCTTTTTTCGACAACCTGGAATTGAAAAAAAGATTTAGATGGTGATGATCTAAGCCCATCAACTGTAGCCGAGGAGGACACAAGCAGTACTATACAAAATTTGGCTTTAAAATAATTAGGACTTCGGATTTTTAAAGTCATAAATAATTGGCCTTATTTAGAAAAAAAATTACAAGAAGAAGAAGAAGAAAATGGTCTTGAAAGCATTACATGAACAAGAAGAAGAAATTTTATATGATTGGAAAAATATGATTTTGAAACTTAAAAGAGAAAAAGTAAAACCCCTATTATTTTTAAAAGTGTATCATCCAATCACCTTCTTGTCTTTCTGACTTTATTGATTCTTTAGTCTATATAAGAAGTCCCTACTTCAAGTCGCTAGTGGAAGTTCCTAAATTATGTGTTCTAATTGACGTTATTATGCGAGCTTGCTTTTCTGTTTGCTTTAGCGAAGGGAGACACGTTCACCTCTCACAGTTTTAATATGCAAGAGTTAAATCTCAGATCTTTTCCTTTTTACTTCTATGTAACCGTTAATTACGTACTTAAGCCCAAGATAGCAATTAATTTCATTTATGCACTCGCTCGTATTAATTTGATTCCATGAAAAGTTATAAGCCACTTGCATGTAAGTTCCATTTTGATTGTAAGTTTTTCATTATCAAACTGATTCGTTTGATTCATTGCTCATTTACAAAAGAAAGATAAGAGCCTCAACTTTTGGAGTATCATTGTTTACAATGGCTTCTTTCAACAACTTTGTGTTACTGATTCTGTTAACAATCACTCTTATTTTAGTCGCTGAATCAGCTCAGGAACGACGAGAAATACCACCCGAAGAAGAGAAGAAAGAGCTGGAGAGGAAACTCAAAGCTATCAACAAACCTGCAATCAAGAGTTTCAAGGTTGGCCTAATAACCTGCCTTGTTGAAGAAGCATGACATGAATTTATAACTTTATGAGTACTTTAACTTCAAGACACCTTTTATTTCTTCCAATTTTTAATTTTGATTAGAATGAAAAGGGGGAAATATTCGATTGTATCGACATTCACAAGCAACTAGCCTTTGATCATCATCTGCTCAAAAACCACTCTGTTCAGGTTTATGCTTTCTACAGAGTTCTCTCTTCCTTTTCCGGTCTCTTGTATTGACGATGAAGTCTTTATACATAGAGTAAATCTCTTTAAGGAATGACTGACTTTTATGAACACATTGACTAATTCTATGCAGGTGAAGCCAACAACTGTACCTGAATGGATCATAGGAAGCAACATTTCAGAGAAAATTGGTCCCTTGCAGCTTTTGCAAAAGGGGATAAGTTGTCCACACGGAACAGTAATTGTTAAAAGGACCACAATGCAAGATCTTTTACACGCGCAGCGTTTGAAATCCATTGGACTCAATATACCAAGGCATGTTCATACAGAGAGAAATAACATTGATTTAACTGGACATCATGTAAGAAACTCTTACTTTACAAAGTATAATACACCGTTTCTCTGCTTCCGTTTTCTTAATTTCTTGGTTATATATAATATGGATACTAGTTTGCGACGGCCGACTATGGATATAGCACCGTTTATGGAGTAAAAGGAAATCTTAACCTGTGGGATCTACAAGTGTCACAAGATCAAGTTAGTCTTGCAAGCATGGCTATTGCCGGAGGTCCTATAGAACAACTCGCCAGCATTTCAGTTGGGTGGATGGTAAGTCAAGTTTCTTGCTCTTCTTCTACTATTTTTTTTTTTCATTTTTAAAGGTCACCTGAATGTTAAGTTGAGAAAAAATGTTTGAGAAAATATATGTACTACAGGTGAATCCATTGCTATATCAAGATCACATTCACTTATATACCTACTGGACTGTAAGTTTTTGTTGAGTAACTCTTAAAGTTTACGCTAATATTTCTTTTTTAACTTCTTGGGTCTTATTGCTATGCATATGGTGATTGGTTCAAACAGGTAGATGGATATAACACGACCGGCTGCTATGACATAAGATGTCCTGGTTTTGTGCAAGTCAGCAAGAGGATACCACTTGGTGTCCTTCTTCAACCAGTTTCAATTTACGATGATACACAATATGAAATGGACTTGAGCTTGCATCAGGTAAAAAAAAACTCCCTATTCTCTAGCGATCTCATCCCATAAGTAATTTGTATATTCATCTTCTTTAAACCGGGAACAGGATCGTGCCACAGGAGATTGGTGGTTTATTTTTGGGGGTGAGAACGTTGGGTATTGGCCAAAATCATTGTTCATAGCTTCAGGCTTAGCCAAAGGAACACATCTTGCATCTTGGGGAGGTCAAGTGTACAGTCCATTGACAAAGAAGAGTCCATTTATGGGCAGTGGGCATTTCCCAAATGAAGGTTTCAGAAAAGCAGCCTTTATAAACGGTATTCAAATCATCGATGGTTCAGGAAAAGCTTTGATTCCACAAATCTACACTATAAAAACCCATGAGAGCAGTCCAAATTGTTATAAGGCTAAGTATATTCATGATGATGTTAATCCTTGGATAAGAGCTATATTTTATGGCGGTCCTGGAAATTGCACAGGGCAGATATCTATGATCTGATCAAGATTTTCAAGATCTATAAGAACTTAAGACAGGGTATATAGGAGAAGTTCTAGAAGTATGAAATATATTCAATCATTCATTTATGCTTTTATGAATAACCAGGAATCCGAATTTCAAGACTTTGAGCACAAAACTTGGATGTTTCAATGAATATAGATAAAGTTAATACTTACCTAAAAGTACAGAGAAAAACTCAAAAACATATGTTTCTTGGCTGAAAAGTCATGTAACTAGCCACATTGTAGATGTGAAAATCAAAATCATCATAAAATTACCTGATACTGCTTTCCTCGAGAGTTTATATATATTTAGCCAGTAATATGATGAAGAAACTTCTATACAACTATTAGGACATGATATATAGTTGTTAGTTATTAGAAGTTCTAGGCAAATCGATAAATTTCCTGCTAGCTGTTTGATTTGTTTCCGTCTAACTGTTCGATTTTCAACATTTTTCATATAAAAAGACGCATATAAGGTTCGTTAAAAGCCCGACCCATCAAAAGGCTTGCGCTTTCTAGGGTTTATGGTTTGCTCAATCTCCTCTACCACTATATATACACACTGATTGCAGTTAGTTCGATGTCCATAGTTCCATCGCTCGGTTTCCATCACGTCGATTGGTGTCAGAGCCACGCTAATTCTAGCTTTTGCGCGGCTCTGATACCAATTGATGCAACGGAAACATCGATTTTGCTAGATTCCGTGTTTTATTAGTTTTTTGATATCGTTTCTATGTTTCAAGTGTCTTCTGTCTAAAGAAGACAATGTTTAGAAGCTCTAATTATAGTTTATAAACTCGGTTTCTTCTTTTCATGGTAGCAATTTTCTTTTAAAGTTAGGGAAGTGTATTCAGGATTGTCAATGAGATGCGATGCTCAAAGGCTAGACTTAATTTCAACAGGTTCGTTTCATATATCTTGGACTTAGGCTATATTTTTCTTTTTCTTTTCCCACAAAATGACACATTTGTGTCTTGCATAGAGAAAGGTAAATGAAGAGTTTAATTCTTGGAGATTTACGATGGTTTTTTTTTGTCCATCTTTCGTCTAATCTTTTCAAATCTTTTCTAATCTTTTCTTTTCGTTAGCACAAGAATACAAGAAGGTAAAAAGTGTCTTAAAGTTTTGCTCATTAATGACTCTCTATTAGAAACCCACATAAGGTTAATAGAAAGATAGCCACTTGTCAGTCACTTTTTGTAGGTTATTTGTTGGTATTAATGGTTCTCAGAGTAATGTGAAACCATATATATATATATATATATATATAGCTGCTCTGCTTCATTACCCTATTGGGTAAAATATATAGTTAAGAGTCTTGGTTCCTTGGACTTCTAAAATAGTTGCCATGAGTTCCTTGGTGAAGCTTCGTTTGCTTATTTTTTTAGCAGTAGCTCTCATTGTAGTTGCCGAGAGTCGCAGAACAATACCAATGAAAGAGGAGGAAATGGAGCCGGTGAGATTACTCAACTATATCAATAAACCTGCAATCAAGAGCTTCCAGGTAAAAGTTAGCCTTTCTACAAATATGATATCATGTTCATAAGTTTTGGTTATATATGCGACCAGACTAGGCTTTCTTTTTCAGACCAGTTCAAGTTTATTGCTTTTGCATTTTGACAGACTGAACATGGTGACATATTGGATTGCATCGACATTAATAAGCAGCTAGCCTTTGATCATCCTCTGCTCAAGAGCCATTCTATTCAGGTTTTAGTCTTTATAAAAATTCAAGTAGAATTTCCTAAAGATCTAATTTTGTAAATGGAATGACATATGATGTTGTGCAGTTGAGGCCTACAACCATACCTAAATGGACCATAAATAACAACATCTCTCAAAAATCTGATTTTCTGCCGTTTGGACAAGATGGGATAAGTTGTCCACTTGGGACAGTGGTTGTTAAGAGGACCACAATGGAAGATCTTACACAAGCTCAGCGTTTGAAATCCACCGGATTCAAGCATTCAAGATATGTTTCTTCGAAGGGCAAGAACATTGATTTAACTGGTTTTCATGTATTAACCTTGCTAATACATTCTCTTCTTCTTCTTCTTCTTTTCACTATATATATAGAGCAATTTCTCACATACAGTGAGCATTAATCACTTATTTATTCTCTTTATATTCTAGTTTGCCGTGGGTGAGTACAGATATTACCATTATGGAACAAAGGCAAACCTTAACATCTGGGAGCCACAAGTTTCACCCACTCAATTCAGTCTTGCAAGTATTGTTGTCGCCAGAGGCTATAAAGAACAGTTTCAAGGCATTAGAGCTGGATGGATAGTAAGTCAAGATTTGTTACATTTCCCTTTAATATCTCTGTACTGCATTTAACAAATTATAATAATTGTGAAAGTAGAATTTTTCAAGATTTTGAACCCACAATTCAATATATCCCACAGGTATACGAATGGCTGAACCGGAATCACAGTCGCTTATACACCTACTGGACTGTATGTTCTCGAAACCTATTAGAGCTTTATGAAGAACATCTTGAGTTTTTCTTCCATTCTCATGCTGTGTCTTGTAACAAAACAGGCAGATGGATTTACCAAGACAGGTTGCTACAATATACTATGTCCCGGTTTTGTACAACTGAGTCCCAAAATCCCACTCGGCTTCCTTCTTCAACCAGTTTCTGAATACCGTGGCCAACAATATGAACTAGGGATCACCATCTATCAGGTAGCACCGGCTTCCTCTAATGAAAGTTGAAGTCTCATGAAATGAGCAAAATCTATCAAAACATGAGGCACTATGTTGATTATTTTTCTCTAGTCTATTTGAATGAATATATAAGGTCAAAGTTAGCAGCTACATATCTAAAAGTATTGCCCGTTTAAGCAGGATGGTATGACAGGAAATTGGTGGTTGTTGGTTTTCGATGAAATTGTTGGATACTGGCCAAAATCATTGTTCACAAAAGCAGGCTTAGGCGATGGAGCAAGTTTGGCATCGTATGGAGGAGAAGTATACAGTCCAGTGAATGAGAAGAGCCCAAGCATGGGAAGTGGGCATTTCCCAAGTGAAGGTCACTCGAAGGCAGCCTATGTGAATGGTATTCGAGTGGTCGATGATATTGGAGGCAAAGCTTCGTGGCCATCACTATTTTCTATAAAGACGTTCTCAAGCACCCCAAAATGGTACAAAGCAAAAAAGTATGAGAACGACGCTATCTTTTATGGAGGACCAGGAGGTTGCACATGTGGTTAACATCTCTTCTTATTAAGTTTCCTCTGTTTTTTCAGTTCAAGTTAAAAAAAAATAAATAAAACGGATGTCTGCTTTTGAAGCTTCTATCGTGAGATTTAACATATATACAAATATCACAATCATTGACTATGTGAACAACATCGCAATCATTGATGGTATGGGAAATTTTCTGTATCCAACACTCGACAGTCTGAAGGAACACGAGTCCAGTTCAAAGTGTTATAGAGCCCTGTATGTTCATGAGGATAAAGAACCTTAGGTAAGAGCTATTTACTATGGAGGTCCTGCAGGATGCATAGGGGAATGATGTATGATCTGAAAAGTTACAAGATAACTCTTATATATATGCCATTATGAATAATATAGTTTCATGAATCTTTTCCCGTTTTACATACACTAAGAACATAGATATGATCTTCACAACTTTCAGCAATAAGTCAATGTTTTTGACTTATGAGGCTACAAACAATGAAACTATAGCCAAAGTGTAAAATGTCATAGTCAAATTGTTATAAACTATAGCCAAAAGAATTAGGTAACCAGAAATGTGGATTCTACTGTTAAAGCTTTGTTCTGACAGATTATTTATATCTGAAAAGCTTCTTTTTTTATTATGTCTTTCTTTTTATATATACCCCTATGCATAGCATAGCTACCCCTACTCTTTGCCCCTAAGCTCTTAAGACAAGTAATTATATAATATTTATGTCTGAACTTCAAAGCTCTCTGCAGCTTCCTGTGTTAGACTTAACACAACCATTTCAGTCCTCTGTTCTGTCTTCTCTCTCTCAGGCTTGTAAAGAGTGGGGATTTTTCTATGTCACCAATCATGGAATCTCTAAAGAGATGTACAGTAGAATCTATTCATTGTCCAGAGATGTTTTCAATGTTCCTCTTGAATCAAAGCTCAAGCTTAGCCCCTTTTCATATACTCCTCGGTACATTGCCTCTCCATATTTCGAAAGCCTCGTTGTCTCTGGACCCGATTTCTCTGGTTCTGCAAAAGCTTCTGCAGATGTTTTGTTCCAAGATCATAGTGAACCAGCGCTAAGGTTGTCAGTGACACTAATCAATTTCTTCTTCTTTCTTTACTTATTAACCCTCTTACTTCTTCTCTGTTTTTCTTCAGAGAAACACTGCAAGAGTATGGCACTAAAATGGCAGAATTATCCAAAAGACTCGTGAAGATTCTCTTGATGATGACCTTAGGAGATGAAACCGGGAAGAAATTCTATCAAAATGAGTTTAGCAATTGCCATGGATACTTAAGACTGGTAAACTACACGCCCCCACACGATGTAGAAAAGCAAGAAGAGCTCGTTGAAGGTCTTGGGATGCACACAGATATGAGCTGCATAACAATAGTCTATCAAGATTCAGTGGGTGGACTTCAGATGAGGTCTAAGGAAGAGAAATGGATTGATATAAATCCATGCGAGGATCTGCTTGTTGTTAACATTGGAGATCTTATGCAGGCGTGGAGCAACGGACGGCTGAGATCGTCTGAACATCGAGTTGTATTGAGAAAGCTGGTGAACAGAGTCTCCCTGGCGTTTTTTCTCTGTTTCGAGGATGAGAAAGTGATACTTGCGCCACAAGAATTGGTAGGGGAGGGAAATTGCAGGAGCTACAAGTCGTTTAAGTGTTCGGAGTATCTGAAATTCAGACAGAGTCATGAAGTAGGGAAGTTTGAGAGAATTGGTTACACTGTCAAAGACTTTGCTGGACTCAAGCTGCCTCAACCAGATGATCCTTGAGAGAAAAAACCGGTATTTCGGTTTAGCGATCACTAAACCGATTCCTGGTTAAGAAAGGGGAAAAAGGTTCCGATTGATGTGACTTTGTGAGTGTCATGCTAATATCAAATATTAGCTAGTGGAATCCAAAGCTACTTTTAGATTTTATTTTTTATTTTAAAAAACATGTTTATTCATAGTGGGAGTAATAGTCAAGCTAGACTCAGTATAAATGGTGAACAAAGAAGCATGAGTCTGACTCACAAATGATTGTGTCCTGAAAAGGACTTGAGCAACACTAAACACAACTTTCTTTTTTTATATTTTATTGTTTGTCTAATCAATTTTTTTTGAATACTTTCTAATAGAAACCACAGTTAAAATGAAGTTTCATACTGATTACCTTGAAGTGGAAGCAAACTTCAGAATGAAAAAGTTGACAGACAAAAAAAACCAACTGTAAAGTCTAAGCTAACGAAGAAGGAAAAAATCGAGATGTAGCACAAAAATGAGTCTTACAGAAGTTTAAAACTTCACTAAAACCAATGCCTAATGAGCAAAAAAAGACTAATGTCTTTTATGGGCGTTGAGACTTCTTCTATGGGCGTTGAGACCCAAAATTCCAATGCAAATGCATCAGCGTTGTGAGGTTCTTGATGAGAAGGAGGACCTTTTTATCATTTCCTCTACGGATTTCAGATAACATATCTGTTTTCTCTTAACAACTCTTTCTAGTTTCCTACGCTCCTCTTTCTCTGTCCTTAGCCTGTCATACTCGGCTTGTCGAAAACTAATCACTCTCTCTTGGAATATTTCCTAGAAATAAAGATTTTATTTGAGCGGCTTGACAATAAGAACAGAAAAAACTGGATATTTAGCATATGAAAACTCGACTTAGCCAACGGACCTTATTATCCGACATTCTGGTCAACCTGTTTTTCTCCATCACACTCTCATGATGTTCCCTACTGAGCTCGACCTCACGCTACACAAACACATAAGAGACTATCAGGACCTTTGTTTTCCTTACTTAACTCAGAACCAAGATATAAAGATGCAAGTTCACCTGTTGCTGGCGTTCATGAAATTCTCTTTCTTCCTCTATCAGTCGTTGCTGATACGCAGCTTCAATCAGAGGGACAGCCTCTTCTCTCTTTGCTCGTTCCAGATAATCCATAGTTTTGACAAGTTTCCGGAGCCTCTTCTCCCTTTCTTGACCTTCCTTGCGCTTATCCCTCATGGCCCTCTCCATCGTACTTCTGTTTTGTTCTAGGGACAGCTCTCTCTCCTCCATCTCCCTAAGGATTCTCTGTCTCTTCCTCTCCTCAAGCTCTGTTGCAAGTCTTTTCTGTTCCGCCTCCTCGGTTAGCTTCAGAAGCGTAAGCCTGCTCAGCTCCTCTTCACGCTCCTTCAAAAATAGAACACAGAACCTAGAATTTGTCCTCTCGAGTGATCCAACGATAATGAAGAAGTATTATTGATGCTTCAATTCATTTAGAGAAATATACCTTCTGTAGTTGCTGATGCTCTTGTTCCTCCTTCCTATTTTCAATGATTGATTTCCGAGCAAGAAGTCTTGTGTGCTCCTTTTCTACAGTCTCCCCTAGATTTGGAACTATGTCATCTAGCTTTGATGCTTTACTTGGAGCAGGAAACAACATCGCTCGTACTTTGTTCATCGTCTCAGCAAAAATAACCAGAGGATCTCTAAGCCCATCAGACTCAGTACCCTGATACACAGATAGTTGAATGAAACAAAAATAACATCAACCAAAATTATATTTAAACCACTCTATTGCAGAAGGGGATGACTGTTATTAGGCAGCAGAGAGGCTCACCAGATTTCCAAAAATTACAACACCTTTCACATGATCGACTTTCATGGCCACAAATTTGTTTTCCACAGCGTCAAATGATATCTTCTCAACAGCTGAGAAGTCGAAGAAAGGGACCAACTGAGCTAGATACTGAATTCTTATCGTCTGATACATCTTAGACACCTGAAAATAATTGTAACATACACTTGTAAGTACATGCAGAAATATATACAGCAGATCAAAAACATGGGTGAATTTACCTGTTGAAGCAGCCTCAAAGTAGCAAGCTTCTCCAAAGAGGGAACATATTGGGAGAGCTGCACTTCTGGTAAAGAAGGAGCTGATGACAACTTACCACCGAGTTTGGAAATTTGATCCAACAAAGGCTTAATCTTGGAACCAAGATCAAGTGGGTGAAATTCATGCTCCAAGAGATGGTAAAGATCTTTGACCTCCTGAGTTGCACAGCTCAAAACACCTCTTGAAACCTAATTGAGGACAAAATCAGACTCGAATCAGATGTGTTCTATTCTAACACAGATCACATCAACACAAGAAAATGTCACAGAGTAAACAATGCAAACTATAAAGCAGAGCGGCAAGAGACTCACCAGCTCTGACAGAAGTGATTCCCGGGAAAGCTGGAAATGAAAGAGATGGAATTAGAGTAAGCAAACAGGAAACAAAGGATGTAACATGATAAACGGCAAAACAACAAGCTAATTTATGTTACCATATCTCTGCCCTCAAATTCAGGTTCAAGATTAAATCCTATGAGGTTGGCCATCCTCAAATTGCGTTCCAAATGGGATTCACCGTGAGCCTGACCAAAAGGTGGAACAGATAACGCCGCCAAGACAACAGATGACGCTATTAGCTGCAAATCCATCTGGTTTAAGTTCTTATTGAAGTTTTTCTGCAAGCTAAACAGCTTAAACCATGCATAAGCATGGTAAAGATGGGTAGAAGAAATCGAGAAGATCTCAGTCAATTTGGAATAATAAACCGGCAACAGAGACGACTTGGGCGTTCTCTTGACCATGCACATTAATCCATATATATCTTCAACAGAGCGAAAAGCCTCCTGCAAAAAGAAAGTGTAAATCAATATAACAGTGGAAAAGATCGACTAGAGAAAGTCAGAGCCTGCATATTACACAAATGTACCTGCCAAATTCCAAGCTCAGTAGCAACTTTCAACTGCTCAAATCTTGTGTCCAGGTAAATTTGCAAGGTCTCAGGTTCTGTAAAATCAGGTCGGTCCCTCTGGTCTCTGTATTTGTCAAGATTTTCCAAATGATTTCTGATGGTTTCGCAGAGCTGTTGTTCTTTTATACTGCTTACAGAACTGGAACGCTTTATGCGCAGTAATCTACAAGATAATGATGCAAAGTGAATTAACCAGCTCTTTCTCACACTAGTCTTGACCAACTAAGAAAATCAAATAAATTAGCTAGCAAACATAATGTGGAAGCAGAACTAACCGCATACAATGCTTGCAGCTTTGAGTTGTTTCGCAGTATCTCAAGAACTGTTCTGTACGTCTCCCACAAAAACTTGAACCATATTGTCGCCTGCTCACGGTCAGACCTATCTTTCTCCTTGTCTCCGCTTACAATAGTACTGAGCTGTAAATCTTCAGGCTTTTTATCTGCTTCAAGGTCATCGACATCAAGAGCCTCCTCCTGACTACGAGCCTGCTCAGCTTTCTCCGTAGCAAGACGAAGGAAATGCTTTGTTACTTCTTCAAAGGAAGTCACATTCACTTGCTGACAAGAATTACGGTATTGGATCAGTCCATCTCTGGCAAACCGGCCCCTCCTCAAGTCAACACAAAGCTCCACATATCTGAACATAATCTGTTCATGTGGTTTCTGCCAAGATCTGAAGCTCCTGGAGGTAATGAGATCATGAAGCACCTGAAGAGCATCTTGTTCCTGCCCAACACTGATAAGTTCTGCGATCGCGTAAAAAAACAATGTCCATTCATACACCCAGAAACTAAAAACTCATGGTGAAACAAAAAACTAGAAAATTTCATACGAAGTGAGCCAAAAGGCAACAATGTTGCAATTTACCATCTGCACGCTTTAATGCATTCTCCGGATTCGAAAAAATCGCCATGATTCAGAACTTAAGTGCTTCAACCAGAACACTACCAACAAACCTGAAAGAAACGATGGTTTTTCTATGAAAAATTAATCAAAGCATGAATAAAAGGAATAAAAATTGAAATTTGGACAAACCCACATGCTAAAATGTAAAATCAATTGAAGCACAACGTCGATTCTAAAATAAAGAATTCTACTTTACGATGCAACCAACGAATTCTCGCCCTAAATCCATAAATTAATTCATACTATTGAAAAATTCGATGCGATTATACCAAATCAATCTGATGAGCTCCGAAGAAACTAATTCAATCAGTACAATCAGTAACCGGCAAGTAGGCTTTAGGGCAGAGAGATTGAAGCGTGTATATTTATAGGGTTTTGAATTTTGGCATTCTTTCTTTTTAAATACATATAACTGAATAATTACAAATTATCCCCAATCTTTGGCGTTTCTAAAAAGAAAACCCTATTCAGTTGAGGGTTTACCGTCCGGAAATAAAATCAGAAACTAGGTCAGTGGCGTAGCTAATCGGTAAAATTAGCGGTAAAAAAATGATGATGTCGCTTTTATACCGATGGTTACTGTTTTTATAACATATTGTAAGTTCTACAAACATCATGAATTGAATTCTAGAAAACAAAAAGCCCATATCAATAATAGAAATCATATTCATATCATGTCATATCAGATATAACAATTTCTTAAACAAATGAAAAAAAAAACAAAATAAACAGCATTCTAGTTCAAATAAATGGACCGTACTGAAAATATTCACTTCTAAAGTCACAAGAAAACAAAAAAAGGACAAACTTATAGTTAAATTCTTTATGTACGAGAACTAAGTGATCCAAGTCCGTGAAAGCTGCTGACTTGTTCTCATGGAGGCCGGAGAAGTTTGTTCACAGCCGTATCAAGAACATCCACATTTCTCCTCAGGTGCTTTCTGCATATTGATTTATCAAGGAATTGTACAACAAATTCCGACTAAACCACAATTATGAAAGCTTTGAGCTGAATTGATATGTCTTTGTGTTCAACATTAAGACAAACATGGCAGACACGCAAAGAACCATATTAAGGATACAACCGAGCCGCCAGATTCTCAACGCCTTTAATTTCCTCGTTTAATCTGCACGTTGAGCCCAAAAACAGAAAATCAAAAATCATATCGGATGCAAAACTCAGTTTAGAGGTCAAAGCTAAGGAATCACATTAAGCAACATATTTGGACACAAACTCAGTGTGCTCTATGACCAGATAAGAGTAATACTGAGATCATTTTTAATCTACCTGAGGCAAGAGTTTATGTACCGGTTCCCTTTGGTGGCTGCATCTAGAGCTGCAAATCCATAAAACAAAGAAAAACGTTCATTTCTAAATGACAAAATTGAATCTCTTGCTCTTATTCCTTAAAAAGATGTACAGAAACCAGTTAGGCTCGAAACAGGCTAGTCTGTCTTCTTACCGGATTCCTGAAGCCGTCCCGCTGCATCACCAAAACAACTCATGTGTTCAACTGAGCTGCCAGTAGCCTGTAACACCATCAAGGAAGACTCACAAAATAAGATTTTTAATCCAACAAGCCATACTAACAGAGAGAAACAGTTTCCACAGATACAAACAGTTCAAAATCCAATTTTTCCGAAATGTGCCAATCAAACTTAGCAAAGTTTTTCTTCGTCAAACCAAGAATCACATTATCTTGTGCTACAGAGAATATACCATCATTGCAGAGCTCAAGAACATCAAGACTGAAACTAAACAAAAAAAAACCCAGAATCCAGTAGACCTCACTTCTGTAACTTAAAGTAAGACGCGAAACCTACCCCTAAATTCCAAAGTTCGAAAATTGATGGATTTATTAAACCCTAGACTTTAATTCGCCCCAAATGTCATAACTTTTCTCGGCGACGATATGGAAAAAACCGAAGAACAAAAATCTGTTCAGACAAGAAGCGTAATCTAACCTCAGAGAGAGTTGATCTGAGGGAAGCAAAGAGAGAAGAAAAGCTCTCTGCGATTGCCTGCGAATCCTTCTCGACCGTAGCAAGGGTTCTCAAAATCTCCCCCTGCTTCAACGACGACGACGGCTCCAATCTTTCGGCGCTGGTATGATTCGATCCATATTCCGCCGCAGACAAATCGTCATCCACCGGCCGATCCACATCAGCTTCAGCTCCGGCATCCATTTTCCCACTAGTTATTCCGGTGAGGCACTCGATGTGTCGTCCAGTAAGATGGAATAAAGAAATTTCTTCTCCAAGTTTTCAGAAATTACAAAATCACCTCACAACTCTTTTATTGTTACATATATGCCCTAAATTAAAACCTCACTCCACTTGAACCGGAAATTATAAAACCGAATTAACCTAACCGAAAGTTGTGTGAAGTGTGAACAAACTGAAGGCCAAACTGAAGGTAACATCATCACAGACATCGACTGATCATCTTCCAAAGTCTAAAGTTAGAATATTCAATGGCAATTGGTCAATTTTGTACAACAGAAGAGATTGAAAAATGAGAACTCAAATCTCTGTTTTAAAAAAAGTTTATATCTTTCAAGATTCAATGTTTTAATTTCAGACAATTAAACAACAAGTCACCAAAATGGACGACTTGTTAGTAATCTTCTGGTTTGTTGTGTTCATAAGCTCTGTTCCTGTTTCTGCAGATATATGCCTTGAAAGATCTGGTTTTTTCACACCCAATGGTACTTATGACTTAAACCGCAGAGTCATGCTCTCTTCTCTTCCTTCTAACGTCACAGGTAACAACGGTTTCTACACGACTTCGACGGGACAAGTTCCAAACAGAGCATATGGTCTAGGGATGTGTGTCCCAGGCACTGATACACAATCTTGTTCTGATTGTATCATATCTGCGTCTGATAGATTGTTACGGAACTGTACAAACCAGATTGAAGGTATAGACTGGAGATTGGACAGAACACTTTGTCTTGTACGCTACTCAAACCGCTCGTTTTACGGATCGCTAGGTACTGAAATTCTGCGGTATGAGAACTATACAAGAGATTTTCAAGCTAACTTCACGGATTTGGAAATTACATGGGAGGCTTTGATGGTTGGTCTGATAGACGAAGCTTCCTCTTTGTACTACGCAGCAGGGACACGAAAGCTTGAGTCGTCCATCTCCCATTTTTATAGTGTTGTGCAATGCAGTAAAGACTTGTCTCTTCAAAACTGCAACCAGTGTCTTCAACAAAACGTGATTGAGTATAGGTCATGTTGCCGTGGGAGACAAGGAGGTGCTATTTCGAGACCTAGCTGTTTCATTCGATGGGAGGTTTATCCGTTCTTGGGGCTTTTCGATAATATTCCTCCTCGTGAGAAAGGTAAGATAATTTTTTGTTGTTGTCAGGTCATAATTATACCCATATCTAACCATGTTAGAAGTTTTTCTCTCCTCTGTTTTTGTTTTGGTCCTTAACCAAAACAATGCACTTGTGATTTTGGGTTCGTGCAGATGGCAAAAGGGTTTCTAAAGGGATCATTGTGGCAATTGTCGTTGTTCCTGTCTTATTGCTTGCTCTAGGATTTGCTCTTTATAGGAGGAGAAAAGCGTACAGAGCATTTACAACTGAGAGTGAGTTGCCTTAATTATGTTTTAGTTAAAGAAAGTTTTTCAAAACATAGTAGAGATCTTCGATGAGTTTGTCTCTTTCTATGTTCTTCTTAGATAATGGTAAAAGAATACGAAGTTGAGATAGAAATGTTTAGTTGTGCAGTATAACACTATATATGTTATACAATTTCGTTGTGCAGCTGTGGATGATATTACAACTTTAGGTTCACTTCAATACGGGTATAAAGCAATTGAAGCGGCCACAAGTAATTTTCATGAAGATAACAAGCTTGGTCATGGTGGATTTGGTGAAGTTTACAGGGTTTGTCTCGAGTACTTATTTGTGTTAGAAACTTGGTGCGAAAGAAATAAAACATATTCTGATAATTATGTGAAGACCATATGAATTGGCAGGGAACGTTTCCAAATGGAACAGAAGTTGCTGTGAAGAGGCTATCTAAAACGTCACGACAAGGTGAAGAAGAGTTCAAGAACGAGGTATTTCTTGTAGCAAAGCTTCAACATAGAAATCTTGTTAGGCTTCTCGGGTTTTCTGTCAAAGGAGAAGAAAAAATATTAGTCTACGAGTTCTTGCCCAACAGAAGTCTCGATTATTTCCTTTTTGGTAAGAAACATATAATATACTCTAGGCTTATATTCTCTGAACCTTACTTCTTTTATCTCATAGTCTAATCGGTCGATACATGGAATATGTGCAGACCCACTGAAGAGTAGTCAACTGGATTGGACAAGAAGATACAACATTATCGAGGGAATTACTCGAGGGATTTTGTATCTTCATCAAGATTCACGGCTCACAATTATACACCGTGACCTCAAAGCCGGTAACATTCTCTTAGATGCTGATTTGAACCCGAAAATCGCAGATTTTGGAATGGCTAGGAATTTCAGAGTGGACCAAACTGAAGCTACCACAGGAAGAGTAGTTGGAACATTGTAAGAAAATGTCAAATTTTAGGTATAATTTTTTGTGTCCTTATTGTTGTGGGGATAAAGCTGAAAATTATAGACGCTGTATTTTTGTAGCGGTTACATGCCACCAGAGTATGTGACTAATGGACAGTTCTCCACAAAATCTGATGTGTATAGCTTTGGAGTATTGATTCTGGAGATTATTGCTGGAAAAAAGAATAGTAGCTTCAACGAGAAAGATGGCTCAATAAGCAACTTGGTCACATATGTTAGTAAATTTCCACTGCCATATATCTCAAAACCTTTCTACTTCTTTTTAGCAATGATCATGGGCTCTCAACATTATTTTCTTGACAAATGACTTGAATATAGGTATGGAGGCTTTGGAACAATGAATCATTGCTGGAAATGGTAGACCCGGCCGTGGAGGAGAATTATGACAGAAATGAAGTCATTAGATGCATCCACATCGGATTGTTATGTGTTCAAGAAAATCCTTCAGATCGTCCAACCATGTCTACAGTTTTTCATATGCTCACTACTACTTCGATTACTTTGGATTTGCCTCACCCACCTGGATTTGTCTTCAGGGTCAAATCCGAGGCAAACCCATTAGCTGAGAGATTGCAGACTGGTCCATCTACTAGCATATCGATCACGTGTGTTAGTCCTCGTTGAAAGCGATGTTTGATATTTATAGTCTTTCACAAACCGATAATTGATAAAAGAAATTTTGATACAAAAGCCTAATATCAGGATAACCTAAAGATCTCATGTCTCCCATAATAATTCAAATTAGTCAATTTTTCTTAATAATGTGCATGGCCATTCTTGTAGAAAATTCAACTTCTGATTTAATTGATAAGAACCAGATATGCTAAGACACACACACACACACATTATCTGAATCACCTGAAAAGAAAACTGAGAAAGAAAAGCTCTGTAGTAATCCTCTGTTTCATATTTCATAAGCTTAAGTGTCATCCTAATCTTAGTAGGAAGTCGTTGTTATTAATTAACGTCACGATATTATTAATTTACATATTTAGAAGGGAAACCAAAACTAAGCAATTGAGCTTCAAAGTCAGTTTCCTTTTTTTTTTTTAACTCTTGTCTCTTTATTGGTCTTGGTCTTGGTTTCAGAACAGGTGTGCAAGACAGAAGTTGAGTATCCGTATGTGTTTTTTTTCCTTTCATATCTGAATTTTCAAATTTAAGCTAATAGCTCACCGTGCATCCTTCCACAGAAGCAAAATGTGTCAAAGATCACTGAGATGAATTCCTGTTGAAGGAAAGCATACTTTACTTGCCGGGCACGTAACCCGAAATGGAACGATGGAAATAATTTTAATACACATGAATCTCTGTATATAGTCGATGCATAAGAGTCTAGAATCATATATCATAACTTTTACAGTGATGAAATGCTTTTGTCTTCAACGAGGATCTACACTAGTAATGGAAGCATCGCCCACAGAATAGAGAGCAGACGTATGCACATATGGACCTACTTTACCTACTTGTTCATCCCTGCTTCGAAAGAAAAATCCAGGTTGTTGGGGTACAGCAAGAGAAATAGAGCTAGTAGTGAGCATCTGGACGATTGCTGACATTGTTGGACGATCTTCAGCTTCCTCTTGAACACATAGTAAAGCAATATGGATGCACCTTGTAATTTCGTCTGTTTGATAGTTTTCTTGAAAGGATGGATCCACAAGCTCTAACGGTGACCCATTGCTCCATAGTCTCCAAGTCTATTGATCATTTTTAATAGTTAAAACGTTGTACACTGTTAAATGAAGGAGAAAATCTGAAGATTTAAGGGTGTGTATACTAATACTCACATATGTAACCAAATTGCCAGAATGACCATCCATTTGATAGAGGCTGCTGTTTTTTTTGCCGCTTATAATTTCAAGAACTAATACCCCGAAGCTGTAGACGTCTGATTTCGTAGAGAATTGGCCATACATCGCATACTCGGGAGACATATAGCCACTGTGGCAACACTCAAAGCTTTGAGTTGATAGAAGCATGTTAAACGTCTCAAGGCAATATGTGGAAATGGAAAACTTACTAGGTTCCAACTACTCTGTTTGTATTGGCTTCTGTTTGGTCCATTCCAAAAATTCTCGCCATTCCAAAATCTGCAACTTTGGGGTTCATATCAGCGTCCAAGAGGACGTTACCCGCTTTGAGGTCACGATGTATGATTGTGAGTCGTGAATCTTGATGAAGATATAGTATCCCTCTAGCAATTCCTCCTATGATCTTGTATCGTGTAGTCCAGTCTAGCTGGCTCTGCATCGTAGAGTCTGCACATGTGTATTTAAAATGTTGAAAACAAAGACTCGCGTGCAGCTCCAAAAAATATTTCTTAGGTTAAGCATTGAACTTAACTAACCAAAAAGGAAGTAATCGAGGCTTTTGTTGGGCACAAACTCGTAGACAAGTACCTTCTCTTGTCCTTCCAAGCAAAAACCAAGTAGCCTTACCAAATTTCTATATTGAAGCTTTGCCACAACAACAACTTCGTTTTCGAACTCTCTTTCACCTTGTCCTGATGTCTTTGATAGCCTCTTCACCGCAACTTGTACTCCACTAGGAAATGTACCCTGTTAGTATGGAAATTGCACTGAAAGATTAATACTGAAAATGAGAAAGTATTCAAATAGAGTTCTGTAGAAGTTAGTATTCATTAGGATTTATAAACAGAGAAAATGGTGAGGTATTTAGCAACAGACTACACAAGTTAGAACGTTTCCAAGGTTCAAAACTCTAAACCGCCATATATTAATGTATTATTATGGTTTATACTTGTAGATAAAAACAAATACAGTGGAAGCCTCTATGCAATGGCAATACCTTGTAAACTGCACCGAATCCACCTTGACCAAGTTTGTTACTTTCCGAAAACTTATCTGTCGCTGCCTCAATAGCCTTAAAATCAAACTGAAGTGAGCCTGCAGTTGTAATATCATCCTTGCCTGTAGAAACATATGAATTATAAGATTAGAACACAACAGAATATTCATTCAACTTTTCTAAAAAAAAAGAGAGTATTTTTACCTTCAGTAAGTGGTTCCGTCTCATAAATCGTCTTTTTTTTCTTAGCTCTCCGGACAATAAACACAGCTACGGAAAGAAGAATAATCACAGAGATTGGAACAACAACAGAGATGATTATGACAGTGGAGTTTCCTCCTTTTCCTATATTCACATAAACAGTTTGGGATCTCAGATTACATATGAACCGCTGATATATTGAATTATATCTCAATGTAAAAGCGAATATACAGACCAGGCCGTGGAGGAGGAGCTGAACTCAGCGGCGGTTGAGGTGTCCCAACGGCGGATTCGTTGTAAAACGCGTAAAGCTCGTATCTTGCATTACAGCTCTGCACAAGAAACCTTCCCCCAATTTTGTCAGTAGGTAACTGATTGATGGTCCGTTGCAGACAGCTCAAACACTCTTGTGTCGTCAGATCACGAGTGCACTGAACAAGTCCGTACAAAGTCTGTGATGCCGTAAACTTCACTTTTCTTGCGTCGAACTTTCTAGAACTATTCTCTGCCTCGAGGGCGGCTTGGTTCATCGTGGATGACACCAAATCTATAAACCCTGTTTGGTTCGATGTAACATTCTGGGTGTTCCACATGATAACTCCACTACCAAGTGAAGAGTTCAAGAGAATATTCCGACTAGAGTATATGAGCATACACTCATCGTAATAGAGCGTGACCTCTCCCTGATTTGGACACCGATTTAATGTGTCGTTGACGGAAAAGTTGACGCATCTACGGCAAACTTCCGGCGAGAGGTCACCGCGGCAAAGGAAAAGTCCAAAAACCACGTCAGGATTTTGACCTGCGGCGGTGCTATAGAATCCGTTGGAGAAAGAGCGACTGTCGGAAGAAAGAAAGGACAAGAGGGTCCTGAGATTGGTGAAGTAACTGCTGTTTCTTGAATAATTTGTCGTATTTGGACAGATGTGGTATACGTAATTGGGATCTTGAGCAGAAGCTCTGAAGCTAGTGAGAAAGAAGAAAAGAAATATGAAAAAAGATCCAAACGAGGCATAACCAGACATTATCCCAATTCTTCTCATTTCCTTCCTGATATTTTTTTTTTTTTTTTGGGTTTATGAGTCCTGATCAATGTGAAGCCAGACAATAGATAATTCATAATACACTATCAAAAATACAAGTCAACGTCAATTCTTGACGAGCAAGTTAACTTATTCACGCAAAGTAAAGACTAGTTAAACAGGATGGGGTCAATTCCAAAAGGGCTCCGCAAAAGCGATTGGTTATTACTCAAATAATACATTTTGATCTACTAATCAAACACTTTCTTTCTTTTTCTTTTCTAAATTAATATAATACTGGATATTTGGATATTTCTTATATATTAACGTACACTTTGTGACTAGTCAGAGTTTTAGATTATAGGCTAATTGGCTAAATAACATTACCGAAGGGAGATAAGCATGAAATAAAACTTAAGCTGTGCAGAAAATTCTGGATAAAAAACGATTTCAGCTTCATACTTTTCTTCATTTCATTCCAATATATCTTCTCTTTAGCGTATCTAAGTCCCTAATTCCTTACATGGAATCAATATAAAATCCGTTCTAGTTTTAATTGATAAAATTCATAATATTGGTATCCAATATTATACATAGATGATGGTCATTCTGTTGGACGTAAGGTAACTAAGCGTGTTTCCAAAAAAAAAAATTAAAGAGCTTTATTTTACTTACTTCTCCGGTACGTAAGGAATCAACAGAGAAAATGGTCACACTCCTGATCGACTCAGAGTCTGATGATCTCTTCTCGCTTTTCCATAACAAATCTTGGGCTTTATTTCAATCTTAACAAGATTTTCTTACATAAAAGCATAATGTTATTCATTCTCGGATACTGATAAGACTTAGGTTTTTTGTTGTTGTTGAAGGGGTTTGGCTTCGTCCACGCCACAACCATGTACGAGTCATTTGTGTTTTCATACGCATACGCAACCTCAAGGTTTTAATCAGCTCATCCTCCTCATCGTCTTATTTTGTGTTTAAGTTACAGTGTTTCTAGATTACTTTACTTAGCTTAGCTTCTTCCATTTCTTACATAAATATACTTTCTCATATATATGCATGGATGTAAAAATTCATTTAAAAAAAAAATATCATCTAAGTACAAAAGACTTTGTGATTGCCAAAGATCTTTGGAATCTAGTTAGTTTCCTTACCCAAAATACTAACTAATTCTGGAAGAGAAGACAGTTTCTTACACGTAAACGTCAAATGCTGAAAAACATTCAAACAGTAAAGGGAGCAGAAGAGCTCGATGATTAAACCCATTATTTGTTTACACATTTGAACAATACTTTTTTGATCTACTAATCAGAAACTTCTTTTTTCTTTCCTTTAATTCAACGTTGAACATTTCGTTGTTAGACATTGATTTATTTTTAATGTGTTGACTTGTCAGATTTTACACGACGCCTCTGCTGACCAGGAAAAAAAACAAGGAAATGATTACGCTAATGTTCTAGAAAGTTAAAGAAGCCATACGTTTCTTTCTTCAATATTAATATATTCTCTTTGACGTATCTACGTTCTCTTTCCTATCTTATAACATTCAAGATGTGTTCTCGCTTTCCAAGTTTCCATTTTTATAGGTGGTCACGATTACTTATATTCTGATGTTTCATTACAAAAAGTATTGTATAAGAAATCGAGGAGATTAGTTCTTGCTCATAGTGGAAAAATGTGGAAGAGATATATTGAGCCAAGATGTACCCTTGAGGCCTTGACATCATAAAGATCTAGTAAAGTCGTGTGAGTTGATGCATTGATTTATGTTCACTGTGTGTGCGAGAGTGTTAGTCTGAAACCTACATTTTAAATTTTCAGGCTATACGAAGGAGTTTGAAGAAATCTTCAGTCGCTTCCAATTCAATTTGATGAAATATTGGGAGAGTCTAGCCGAGATAGATGACAGTAAACAGTCCTGGGACACTTTTTGTTGTTGAAATCATATGCTTGGAAATATCTTATTTCTCTTGCCTCTGGCGAACCTCTTAATTCGGTCTGATCCGCCTGTTTTTCTCATGGTCATGTGATGAAACTTGCTTCTCACTCTATTATAAGGTCATTCTCTGTTTCTTCACCATTGTTACACAAGGGAGCTCTCAAAAGTTTAAAACGAATCAGAAGTACACGCCGCTGATAAGAGGATCTTATTAATGTGCATGGCCATTCTCGTAGAAACTTGAACTTCTGATTTAATCGACCAGAACCAGAAATACTGAAGCGCACACACACACACACATTATGTGAATCATATAAAGAAAAACACTGACAAATAAGAGTTCTGTAACAATCCCCTTTTTTGGACTGTTCTTAAGCTTAAGTACCATCCTAATCTTATTAGAAACTTCAGTGTTATTATCGTTACAATAAAATTAATTTACTTTATTTCAAGAGGAGAAACCAAACATAAGCATTTGAGCTTCACAGTGAGTTTTTGTTTTGTTTAACTCTTGGTCTTGGTCTTGGTCTTGGTTTCAGAACATGTGTGCAAGAAAGAAGTTACGTTATGTATCCGCATATGTGTTATTTTTTCCATTCATATCTGATGGCATCGTTAATGGATTAAACTTTCAAGCTACACAAATTGTTTGAAGAGAGCTACAGAAACTTCAGATTCACTTATATAATATTGGGAGAGTCTGTTCGAGCTACATGACGATAAACATCCTCAGAAGAAGAAGAAATTGAGCTTTTATTAATTAACTATTACAAAGTAAAAAATCCTCGAACGTGTTTTGGTGTTGAAATCATACGTTTGGTAATATCTATTTCTCTTGCATGTAGCGAAAAGTGGAGCTGAACCTCCCAATTTATCCATGAATCATCATCTTCGGTAGCCTTCCACACAAGAAAAAATATGTCAAAGATCACTATGATAAATTCATGTTGAAGGAAACCATACTTATAACAGAGTATAATTTCTTTACTTGCCGGGCACGTAAAGAAAAGAAACAATGGAAAAAAAATTAGTTTAGACGGATCTATGTTCATTGTCCATGCGTAATAGTCTAGAATCATATTTTATAACTTTTACATTGACGAATTGTTTTTGTCTTTAACGAGGAGCTAAACTAGTAATGGAAGCATCGTCGATGGAACAGAGAGCAGACGTATGCTTAGATGGACCTGCTCTCCCTACTAGTTCATGTCTACGTCGGAAGAGCAACCCAGGTGGTCGAGGTGCAGCAAGAGCGATCGAGCTAGTAGTGAGCATCTGGACAATTGCTGACATAGTTGGACGATCTTCAGCATCTTCTTGAACACATAGTAAAGCGATATGGATGCACCTTGTAATTTCGTTTGTTTGATAGTTATCTTGAAAGGACGGATCCACGAGCTCTAACGGCGACCCATTGATCCATAGTCTCCAAGTCTGTTGAACATTTCAACAATCATCAAACTCTGGTCACTGTTGATTGAAGCAGCAATGTTTTGAGATTCTTTAGGGCTATATACACTCACATATGTAACCAAGTTACCGTCACTACCATCCATTTCATAGAGACTACTGTTCTTCAAGCCGCTTATAATCTCAAGAACTAAGACCCCAAAACTATAGACATCTGATTTCATGGAGAACTGGCCGTACATTGCATACTCAGGAGACATGTAACCACTGCCACAATACTAGAATTAATGTTGAGTTTAAAGAAGCACATTACGGTCTACAGAGGCAATATATGACATGAGAAAATCTTACTAGGTTCCAACGACTCTTCTTGTCTTTGCTTCCGTTTGGTCCACACCAAAGATCCTAGCCATTCCAAAATCTGCAACTTTAGGGTTCATATCAGCGTCCAAGAGGATGTTACCCGCTTTGAGGTCACGATGTATAATTGTGAGTCGTGAATCTTGATGAAGATATAGAATCCCTCTAGCAATTCCTCCAATGATCTTGTACCGTCTTGTCCAGTCTAGCTGGTTCTGCATTCTAGAGTCTGCACGTGGGTATTTAAAGTGTTAAAAACAAAGAATGGCATGCAACTCGAAAAAAAAATTCTTGGGCTAAGTATTAAAAACTAACCAAAAAGGAAGTAATCGAGGCTTTTATTGGGCACAAACTCGTAGACAAGTATTTTCTCTTCTCCTTCCAAGCAAAAACCAAGTAGCCTTACCAAATTTCTATGCTGAAGCTTTGCCACAACAACAAGTTCGTTTTCAAACTCTCTTTCACCTTGTCCTGATGTCTTTGATAGCCTCTTCACCGCAACTTGTACTCCATTTGGAAATGTACCCTGCAAATATGGAAATTGCACTGTAAGATTAATCATGAAAATGTAAAAGTATTCAAATAGAGTTCTGTAGAAGTGTAAAAAAAAACCTCACGACTCTGTAGCTATCAAATTTCATCAAATTTCAAGCTTTCTATTATCTGTTTGACAATGTTTCCAAGGTTTAAACTCTAAACTGCCATAACTTAATGTATTATTTAATATATACTTGTAGATAAAACAGTTAAGAGTGGAAGCTCTATGCAATGGTAATACCTTGTAAACTGCACCGAAACCACCTTGACCGAGTTTGTTACATATCGAAAACTTATCAGTTGCTGCCTCAATGGCCTTAAATTCAAACTGAAGTGAGCCTGCAGTTGTAATATCATCCTTGTCTGTATACACAACTTCAAACACAGCAGCATTTAGCCTAAAAAAAAAAAGAAAAATCGTAGTGACTGGAACAACAACAGAGATGATTATGACAGTGGAGTTTCTGCTTTTTCCTGTATTCACAGAGATAGTTTGGTCCGTACTGTTATACTGAATACTACATATCTCAAAACATGTATAATCAAAGAAAAAGCGAATGTCCAGACCAGGCCGTGGTGAAGGAATTGAAATCGGCGGTGGAGGAGGAGCTGAGTTCAGCTGTCGTGGAGGAGGAGCTGGATTCAGCTGCGGTCGACGTGTCCCAACGGCGGATTCATTGTAAAACGCGTAAAGCTCGTATCTTGTACTACAGCTCTGCACAAGAGACCTTCCCCCAATTTTGTCAGTGTGTAACCGATTGATGATATGTCGCAGACAACTCAAACAGTCTTGTCTCGTCAGATCAGGAGTGCACTGAACCAATCCGTAAAAACTCCGGAGTGCAGTCCAATTGGCCTTTACCGTAGAGAACTTTCTAGAACTTCTCGCGGCTTCAGTGGCGGCTTGGTTCATCGTCGACAAGACCAAGTCTCTGAACTGGTCTTCTTGGTTAGACGTAACGTTTTGGGGGTTCCATAAGACCAATTCTCCATCGGTGCTTAAGGTCGAGAGAATATTCCGGTTAGAAAATCTAAGGCTACATTGATCGTAATAGAGTGTGACCTCTCTCTGATTTGGACACCAAGTTAACGTGTCGTTGACGGCAAAGGTGACACAGCTACGGCAAACTTCAGGCGACACGTCTCCACGGCAAAGGAAAAGTCCGGTGACCCTGTCTGGGGCTTGCCCGGCAGTGGCGTTTTGGAATCCGGTGGAGTAACAGGCGTTGTGGGAAGAGAGAGAATACAAAAGGGTTCTGAGATTGGTGGAGAAAGTGCTGTTTCTGGAGAAAGTTGTCGTATTTGGACAGATGTGGTGTACGTAACTGGGATCTTGAGCAGAAGCTTTGAAGCTAGTGAGAAAGGAAAAAAGGAAAAGGGAATGATATACATACTTAGACGTATAACCAGACATTATCCCAATTCTTCTCCTTTCCATTCTGTTTTATTATTATTATTATTATTATTATTATTATTATTATTATTATTATTATTATTATTATTATTATTATTATTATTATTATTGTTTTGTTTATGAGTCCTGAAGCCAGACAATAAATATTGTATTAGAAAATACAGGTTCTTCCAAGTCAACGTCAAATTCTTTTTGACGAGAAAGTGGCAGAAAACGTCTAACATCTTCTTGACGAGTAATTTAACTCATTCACGAAAAGTAAAACACACTCCTGATTAACTCAGAGTTGGATTATCTCTTCTCAATTTCGGATAACCAATCGTGGGCTTCATTTCAATCTTCTTAAGATTTGCTTACATAAAAACAGATAGTTTTTCATTATCGGCTACGGAAAAGAATTAGGTTTTTTTGCGTTGAAAACTAGGGCTTTGGCGTCGTAATCCACGCCACAACCACAAGTCATGTGTATTTTCATATGCATACGCACCATACATGTTTTAATCATCCCATCGTCCTCATCGTCTCATTTTTGGTTTAAGGATCTGTATTTCCAGATTGCTTAGCTTATAGTTTCTTCCATTTTATGATTACCATATCCATATCAAAATTTAAAAGTAACTTTGTGATTACCAAAGAGCTTTGTAAATTTAGTAACTTTATAATTTTTGATATATACTAATCAAAAACTTCTTTTTTTCCCTTCTAATCCAACGTTCTACATTTAGTTGTTAGACTTTTATTTATGTTTTTTGTGTGTTGACTTGTCAGACTTTATATTACGCTGCTGATAACCAGAAAAATAAGATTGACTAAAGCGTAATCATCACGCTAATGCAAAAGAATACATAAAAGCGGTTTTCTTCCTTTCAATCCAAAATCTATTCTATTTGGCGTATAAAACTAATACCGTTTGAATGTACCAGATCTTTTTCAAATAAACGAAGATTCACAATAAAGTGACGCGATTTCCCTCCCAAGAAAATCGAATACTTGAGAAAGGGGCAATCGATCTAAAAAGATCTGGTGGTTGTAAAACCCTAAAGTATACGTCACAAATTGACAAAAGTCGAGTCTTCTTCAGGGAGAAGTCACGGCGGATGTCTCATGTCTCATCTCAAGCATTGACTAATGTAGCAGCATTGCTGTAACATCCCTATCCCAGGCTTCCTAAGAAAACCGGAGAAATCGGGCATGTTAGGTTGGCCATCTGACCGCATTCGGTCAGATGCCTGGTTTGGTCCAGATGGTGAGCCTCAGGTCTGCCAGGATCGAAAACGCCCAGGTAACAATCAACAACATAGACTTAGGCTGATCTTTCACCTACACCTGATAAGACAAGGGAAGAGGAGGGGTGAGTAATGGGGATTACTCAGTGAGAACCAGACCAGGCTCCCTTCCTACTCATTTATTTCCAACCAACATGTCAAGAATAAATCCAACAAGCAACACACAAGCATCCTAGCGATGCACACACAACTAACAAGCAATGGTGTCTCCAATCCGCCTATCACACAAGGCCACACCTCCTAGTCACACAGACTAGAACATCATCTCCCATGTCACACAGACATAATACCAGGCAGTCACACAGACACACCTCCAGCCATACAGGCTCCGGAAGGATCGGCGTACCTTCCGCTCACCGTTGAACTATCGCTATAGTCACACAGACAGCAATAGCCCAGCAAACAAGTCCATACCTCGGCACACCATCACCAAGATGAACACCTGATCTAGCTACACTACCAATCACTAACCACTCATCAATGTGAACAATCAAACATGCTGGTTTTTCCTCTAATGAGACCCTAGATCTTTTCATTAGACTCACACATGGATCTAGCTAGATGCACAAGGAAACATCCTAGGCTCATCAGATCTAGACTCCACACACCAGAAGAAGACAAAAGAATAAAAAGAAAACCTAGATCTAATCCTCACCTTAGCAACAAGGCAGATCTGAACACCCGACACGAAAACGAAGATATCTCCTGGCACAGATCTCCGATCCGGATGAACTAGGTCTCTTTGGAAAGCTGACACTCGGGGCTACAGATTGATAGGTAGCTCGTCTCGTGGATACACACGGTTCGCCGGGAAAACGTCATGGAAGGAGGCGGCGGCGGCTAGGGTTTAAGAGAGAAGAAAGAGGGAGCGAAGCTGATGGGAAAGGAGAAAGCAGCGGCCAAGGGAGAGAGGAAGAGAAAGAGAGAGATAGAGGGAGAGAGAAAGAGAGGATGGTGTGGCTGAGAGAAGGAGAGGAGAGAAAAGGTGGCTAGGGTTTCCAAAATGGAGAATGAAAGATTATAGAGGTATTTATAGTTAGGGTTAATTTAGATGGGCTGGGCTTAATGGATGGGATTAATGGACTTGCAGAGAATTAAAAAGAGATTAAAGGTAGATTTAATTAAGAAAAATGGTTTAATTTAAATAAACTGGAAATTGATTTTTAGTAACAACCGACCCGGCGGGTCGGGGTGTTACAATTGCTGTCTTGACCGTTTTGGACTGGCCATGAGAAAGTCCTACATATATTTTTTTTTTTTTTTTTTTGTTCTCAAACAAATCCAGTGAGTTAGTCTGAAACCTACATTTTCAATTTTCAAGCTATACGAATGAGTTTGAAGAAATCTACAGTCGCTTCAAATTTAATTAATGAAAACATTGGGATAGTCTATCCGAGCTAGATGACAGTAAACAGAAATAAGAAAAACAGAATAAAGCTTTTATTATAGAGAAAAAAAAATCCTGGGACACTTTTTGTTGTTGAAAATTGAAATCATGTGCTCAGAAATATCTTCTATTGCCTCTGGCGAAAATGGGAGCTGAACCTCTCAATTTAGTCTGATCCGCCTGTTTTTCTCATGGTCATCTGAAGAAACTTGCTTCACATGCTACTCTAGCTAACCGGTCATTCTCTGTTTTCTACTTTTCTTCACTATTGCTCCACAAGGGAGCTGTCAGATGTTAACACGAATCAGAAGTACACGACGCTGATGAGAAGAGTTTAAATCATATTGAAATTGAAGTGGCTAAACCTGTAAACAACAAACATTGTCTTAATAGATCCCTGCATTAAAACAGACTGTAGAAGAGATGTCACTAGATTCATCGATATCGAAATATATCTGTTCAAGAAAATCCTACAGATCGTCCAACGAATTCAAAATTTCACCGGATCCTCTGTTCTCAAATAATTGTTTGTTTGTTTATCATATGAGCTTATATTATATTTTCGATGGGAAAATTGGCAACAATTCACGAAACAAATTTTTATCAATTTTTAAAATTTTTAATTTTTTTTTATAAACTGCTCCAGAGTAAAAAAAAAAAGAAGTATATTGCTCCAGAGTTTTATCAATAATCCAATAACAACCCAAACCGGTTTATTAACTCAACCGGTCATGACAAAAAAAAAGCTCAACCGGTCCTCTTTTTCCTCTCCGTCTCATTCAGCCAAGCTTCACCTTCCCGAAGGCTTTCACTGTACTCGTTTTTTGGATTTTTAATCGAGGGTTTCGCTTTCTGATTTTAATAGCGATTTTGGGTTAAGGAAAGTTCACGATTTTCCGATTCCGATGTGACAAAGGAGGAGAATCTGTGAATTAGGGTTTCCTCTGTTTGTTCTGTACTTGTAATTGATGCTATGTTGCTATATAACTCTGTTTCATGTTTCATCCAATCAAATTTTCATAAGTTCCTTTTCCGAAACCATGTGAGCTCATAAAAAATTTGTGGTGCTTCCTTCACAGATCGTCTATTTGCTTAGAATCTACTATGTGTCTCTTGTGGCGATTTGTTCTTTTTGGTACCACTTGGATTTTATTTCCAACTAATTACAGATGCGACATTTCAGCTACAAAATCACCAACATTGGCTCTTTTTCCTTAATGCTCGGCTCAAAAGGTACATTCTTTGTGGAAAAGTCAACACCTTCATGACCCATGTGTTGTTAATGCTAATGTCATCCTCTCTGTCCATGGCAACTTGATGAGTGAAGTTAAGTGCGCCATTAAAGTGACAACACACTCACAGGTATGCATTACATAATTGACACTCCTACTTGCTCTCGAGTTTCCAAAGTGTTTGAAAATGAAACAGAATAATCTTTTGTCAATCTTCTGGTTTGTTCTTGTAAGCTTTGTCGTTGTTGTTTCTGCACAAACATGCGTGAATAGTGGGTTTTTCAGACCCAATAGTACTTATGACACGAATCGTGGCCTTGTCCTCTCTTCGGTTGCTTCAAATGTCAGGGCTCGAAACGGCTTCTACACTGCTTCGATTGGCCAAGGACTTGACCGAGTCTATGGAGTGGGGATGTGTATCCCAGGTGCTGAACCGGAGCTGTGCTCAGATTGTATCCAGGAGGCTTCTGCCGGGTTATTACAGAGCTGTCCTAACCAGACAGAAGCCTTTACGTGGTCTGGTGGAGGTAAAACTCTTTGTATGGTACGTTACTCAAACAGATCATTATCTGGGTCACTCGATCTAGACCCTCCTTCTTTAGGGTACAATACTGGGGATATCATATCTATATCTAATCAAACAGAGTTTGATAAGACATGGGAAGAATTGACGCGTAGAATGATAGTCGAGGCTTCGACAGGCAAAGACAAATCGTTGTCTGATCGTAAGTACTATGCAGCCAACATAGCGCCCTTGGCAGCTTTCCAGAATATATACGCATTAATGCAATGTACACCGGATTTATCTTCGGGAAACTGTAAAACCTGTCTACGAAAAAGTGTTGATGACTATGAAAGCTGCTGCCATGGGAAGCAAGGTGGCTATGTCTTTAGGCTAAGCTGTATTTTCCGGTGGGATCTGTATCTATTTAATGGGGCTTTCGACAATATTACGTCGACGGTGCCACCGTCATCTCCTCCAGCTTCTCCACCGTCATCTCCTCCAGCTTCTCCACCGTCATCTTTGAAATCCATCACAACCATCATAGACCAGAAAGGTAAATTCTTCAATGGTAAAACTTTGATTGCAAGAACCTGTCCAAACCAAAATATTTGTCTAGTCTACGCTAGTTGCCCCCAAATTTGAAGATGGCACAAAACTGATTAAAAAGAGATTGCTTTTATTTTCTGTCTTTTCAGTTGTGTAAACCTTCTTCTATGTTTTGGCTTGCACAGAGAGTAAAACAATCTCAAAAGGAATCGTCGTAGCAATTGTTGTTATGGCTGTTATTGTCTTCTTGGTAGTGGCTGCTCTAGGATTTGCTGTTTGCAGGAGGAGGAAGTCATACCAATCACTTGATCGCCAGTGTGAGTTGTTTCACGTGTTTCCCATTAATTACTTTATCCTCTAACCAGACGGCTCTAAACATAAATCCAGACATATGAAATCTTGTTTAGTAACTCAGTTTTGTTAGTAGATTTTGAATTGAAAAGACCTATACGTTTCTGTATGCAGCTGGCATTGATATTACGACTACGCACTCCCTACAATATGATTTTAAGACAATCGAAGCTGCAACAGATAAGTTTTCAGAGAGCAACAAGATCGGTCAGGGTGGATTTGGAGAAGTTTTCAAGGTAAAATTGCTTTGACTTTCTGGTTTGTTTGATTCCTAGAGAGTTTGGATAACATATCCAAGTGATGTTATATTCTTTGTAGGGTGTGCTTCCAGACAAAACAGAAGTCGCTGTAAAAAGGCTGTCAAAAACATCGAGTCAGGGCGACCGAGAGTTCAAGAACGAAGCTGTTCTGGTGGCAAAGCTTCAGCACAGAAATCTGGTTAGGCTTCTTGGATTTTGTTTAGAAGGAGCAGAGAAGATACTCGTCTATGAGTTTGTGCCCAACAAAAGCCTTGACTACTTCCTTTTTGGTGAGTCCAATATAATAGATATGCTGAGAGAATCATAATGATCGTTAATTCATTTACTAAACGTGGTTGCAAATGATTGTACATGTACATGCAGACCCTTCAAAACAAGCCCAGGTGGACTGGACAACACGGTACAATATCATTGGTGGGATTGCTCGAGGAATACTCTATCTTCATCAAGATTCAAGGCTCACAATCATACACCGTGACCTCAAAGCGAGTAACATTCTCTTAGATGCTGATATGAACCCAAAAGTTGCCGACTTTGGAATTGCAAGGATTTTTGGGATGGACGAAACTCAAGCTGAAACAAGCAGAATAGTTGGAACCTAGTAAATACTTTTTCCCTTGACTGCACTTATCACTAAGGTTAAATAGCAAAGATTTTTAGGATTAACCATATTTTGGCTGTGGGTGAAGTCACGTTTTTTATTTTCCGTGTTCTACCAGTGGTTACATGTCTCCAGAATATGCAATGAAGGGTCATTTCTCTGTGAAGTCTGATGTATACAGCTTTGGAGTCTTAGTTCTTGAGATTATAACTGGTAAGAGGAACAGTAGCTTGGACCAGTCAGACGGCAATGCTAGCAACTTGGTCACATATGTGAGTACCAAAAATCAAGTATCAATATTCAACTTCCAAAAACTGTGAGGATTGTGAGCAGTAATGGATTTTTTTTTTGGTTATTGTGTTAGGCCTGGAGGCTTTGGAGAGAGTGTTCACCATTAGAGCTCGTGGATCCGGCAATTGTAGGGAACTATCATAGCAATGAAGCTACAAGATGCATCCATATTGCGCTGTTATGTGTTCAACAAGATCCCGCAGATCGTCCAACATTGGCTTCAATCATCTTGATGCTCTCTAGTAACACAATTTCTCTACCAGTGCCTAGACAACCTGGATTCCTCTTCCAGAGTATACTCGATCAAGACTTTGTAGCCGAGGGATTAGAATCAAGTCAATCTACAGGAAGATCTCTTCGTTATTCTGTTAATGATGTGTCGATTACTGATTTAGAGCCTCGTTGAAGATGGAAGTATCCTATAAGTGTGGTTTGAGTGATGCATCTACATTGTTATCTAAGTCTTGTATCTTCATTTGAGTTTTCTCTGTTTCTACTGTATCTTCTTCCTATTTTTGTGTGACTTGGATATGCCTGTAAGTTTTCTGTGCCACTACACTTTTGCTGAATCTAGTAAACCGGGTATTATAAACCAAAAGCTATTAACTGATGCTCTTTCTCTCATCCTCTGTTTTCGCTCAACTCAGTTCAGGCTTTCATATAATCGAAACAATCTTCTCACAAATTCTTTTGTCTGCAGAGTAATGTGGAAATAACTGGATTTTTCAGCTCGAGATGATGGTTCGATTGGCCAAACCATTGTGATCGAGGTTTGCTCGTCAACGATGGCATAATCAAAACCGGTTTATCTGTGAAACCAATGACAGTGACACATTAGCCCAATACTCTTCTCGTTCCTCTTGGTCTCTCTCTGCTTCGCTGGGTATTTCCTTGATGTCATTTTCTGAGTCAACGTTTGACAATTCAACAGTATTATACCGTGTGAACGAAGAAATTATTATTGACTTTTTGTTTTTTATGCTCTTGAAAGGTCGAAAGGACCACTGTTATCAGTTTGACGAATTCAACATTAGAATTTTCGGAGATAAACTTCGACTTGTGTTTTTAAACTGGTAAGAAACAGAGGATTTTGCTTTTGCTATAATCGAAAAAAAAGAACAATGAAGCAGAGGCGTCTGTTTTCAATCCTCTGTTTTGTCCTCATAAGCTTTGGTGTTTCTTCAGTTTCAGCACAAACATGTATGGACAATGGGAATTTCAGGCCCAACGGTCCTTACGACACAAATCGCCGTCTCATCCTCTCTTCTCTTCCTTCCAACGTCACGGCTCAAGACGGCCTCTTCTACAACGGTTCCATCGGACAAGAACCGAACCGTGTCTACGCTGTAGGGATGTGCATCCCAGGATCAGATCCAGATGACTGTTCTGAATGTATCAAGACAGCATCTGATGGTTTGATACAGACTTGTCCTAACCAAACAAACGCGTTTACATGGCCAGGTGAGCCCACGCTTTGCCATGTCCGCTATTCCAACACTTCTTTCTCAGGAACTGCAGATTTGGACCCGCGTGTACTTCTCACCAACATTGGAGATCTAAACTCAAATCTAACAGAGTTCAGGACAGTATGGGAAAGATTAGTGGGTCGCATGATTACTGCAGCTTCCGAAGCAAGAAACACTTCATCGTCTAGTAATAACCATTACGCAGCTGATACAGAAGCCTTGACATCTATCCGGACTATATACGCTTTGATGCAATGCACGCCGGATCTTTCTACTTCTGATTGTGACAACTGTCTGCGACAGAGCGCAATTGACTATCAGTCATGCTGTGGTGAAAAGCAAGGAGGTGTTGTTATGCGGCCAAGCTGCTTCTTCCGTTGGGATTTGTATACATACTCTAAGGCTTTTGATAATCTTCCGGTGGCTTCTTCTCCAACTCCTGTGGCTGTGCCACAACCACAACCTGCAGGTGACCAGGCTAACACGACTGATAATGGTAAGTAATTTAACTGATAAAAACTATGATTGTAAGAAGAATTGAAATATATGACATTAGTTTTGCTATTTGCTAGAAGAAGATAGCAAAGGAATCTCAGATGGAATTGTCGCGGCGATTGTGGTGGCGACTATCGTTACCATCTTGATACTGCTTGTTCTATGTTTTTTTCTATTCCGGAGGAGAAAACCATATCAGAGAACTGAAAATGAATGTTAGTTCCTCGTGTCTTATCTCTTTTTTTTTTTTTTTTTCCTTTCGTTATATTGTCCCTTAGCCAAGAGAGGAAACATGAGACAATAACTATACACATCTTACTTTGCAGCTGATAGTGATATATCAACTGAACATTCATCACAATACGACTTTAAGACAATTGAAGCTGCAACAAACAAGTTTTCAATGAGTAATAAGCTAGGTGAAGGTGGATTTGGCGAGGTTTACAAGGTAAGGAGTTCTCTGTTTTCCAGTTTTTCTAAGTTAATATAGGTTATGTCCGGATTTTTTTTTTTCATTCAGTGGTACGTATAGGGTAAGCTTTCTAATGGAACTGAAGTAGCTGTAAAGAGACTGTCGAAAAAGTCAGGACAAGGCGCAAGAGAGTTCAGGAACGAGGCTGTTCTTGTGTCAAAACTTCAACATAGGAATCTGGTTAGACTTCTTGGATTCTGTTTGGAAAGAGAGGAGAAGATTCTGATCTATGAGTTTGTTCCCAACAAAAGCCTTGACTATTTCCTATTCGGTATGGTTTCCCTTCAGTAGCTTTTGCTTATTCGAAGGATTCTTCTTCAGCTTTAAAATGATTGTTTGTATATGGAAATGTGCAGACCCTGAAAAGCAAGCCCAGGTGGACTGGACTCGGCGATACAATATCATTGGAGGGATTGCTCGAGGAATTCTTTATCTTCATCAAGATTCACAGCTCACAATCATACACCGTGACCTCAAAGCAAGCAACATTCTCTTAGATGCTAATATGAACCCAAAAATTTCAGATTTTGGATTGTCAACGATCTTTGGAATGGAGCAAACTCGAGGCAACACCAGCAGAATTGCTGGAACCTAGTAAGTTCTGCTCACAATGGCTGAAATCACACAAAGTTCGTCAAAACTTTTTCTCTACGTCATATTAACCCAAGTTGTATGTTTTTCCAGCGCTTACATGTCTCCTGAGTATGCAATGCATGGTCAATTCTCCATGAAATCTGATGTTTACAGCTTTGGAGTCTTAGTTCTTGAGATTATAAGCGGCAAGAAAAACAGTGGCGTCTACCAGATGGATGAAACTAGTACTGCTGGAAACTTGGTTACTTATGTAAGCATAAAGTTCTCAACTTCCATCAATTTAACATCTTTAAACATATGACCAATGTTCTTGATTGTATATTTTTGTGTTAGGCTTGGAGGCTTTGGAGGAACGAGTCACCATTAGAGCTTGTGGATCCGGCCATTGGAAGGAATTATCAGAGTAATGAAGTCACTAAATGCATCCACATCGCGCTCTTATGTGTTCAAGATAATCCAGAAGACCGTCCAATGTTATCGACTATCATCTTAATGCTCAATAGCAACACAATGACTTTACCAGTGCCTCGCTTACCGGAATTTTTCCCAAGAAGCATGCAAAACTTGGACCCTCTGTCTGAGGAAACAGAGTCGGATCAGTCTACAAGCATGTCTTTTCCTCATTTAGTTCGTCAAAGATGATATGTTTCCTCATTATATCTGGAAAGTTAAAACATATGAATGGACGATATTTGAATTATTTATGCACCCATCATAAGAAACGGTAACTTTCTCTGTGACTGTAATTGTGTTGTAAGCTGTATGATTCTATGGTCAGTTCTGTAAGTATAGTATTTGGTGTGAAGGTTTACAGAAAACTGCAATTTAAGACCACATTTACAGGTTTTTTGCTCACTCAAGCCGATTCACATTTTCTCATTGATGATTACGTTAAGCTTATAAGAGACTTGATTCAGAGAAAACTGTTATGCCTTCAAAAAGAAACGTGTAAATAGTATAATTCTCATATATGCTTTGTGGTTACACTTACAATACAAACAGCTATATCAAAAAAAAATTCTCAACTTATTTTCAACACCGGTTGCTTTAGGAATCAAGCATGAATGGTAAACAAACATCTGCCTTCAACGAGGATATACTTCTGTGATTGAGGCATCATCAACAGACCCTAGAAGAGACTTGGTCGTTGAATCAAGCGGGTCTTTTCCGGGTCTACTCTGAAAGAAAAGACCTGGTTGCCTAGGCACAGGTAATGTAACAGTGTTACTAGTGAGCATCAGAACAATGGTTGACAAGGTTGGACGATCTGCAGGATCTTCTTGAACACACAAAAGACCAATATGGACACATCGAACAACTTCATTCCTTTGGCAATTATCTACAATAATTGGGTCCACGAGGTCTAACGGTGTCCCATTACTCCAAAGCCTCCACGCCTAGAATATAAATCAATCAATAAACACTTTGCTACCATGGTCAGGAAAATATGGAACTTGATTTGCTCAAAACTTACATATGAGACCAAGTCATGTGCGCCATCAGTTTGGTAGAAACTGCTATTCTTCTTGCCGCTTATAATCTCAAGAACTAACACTCCGAAGCTATAGACATCAGATTTCATTGAGTAGTGACCTTGCATTGCATACTCGGGAGACATGTAACCACTGAAAACTCACAACAAAAACTATGTTGGTAAAAGAAAGTTTACAAAACTTCTAACTCATGAGAAGTTGAGAGGAAGACTTACTAGGTACCAACTATTCTGCTTGTGTTCTCTTGGGTTTGGTCCAAACCAAAGATCCTAGCCATTCCAAAATCTGCAATTTTAGGATTCATATCCGCATCCAAGAGAATGTTACTCGCTTTGAGGTCACGATGTATGATTGTGAGCCGTGAATCTTGATGGAGATACAGAATCCCACGAGCAACTCCACCAATAATCTTGTATCGTCTAGTCCAGTCTAGCTGAGCTTGCTTTGCAGGGTCTATGGTATATTACAGTTAGCTCTAACAATTTACATCCCCAAGTATTGAAACAAAGGATTAAATGCATGCAACTCACCAAACAAGAAGTAATCAAGGCTTTTGTTGGGCACATACTCGTAGACGAGTACCCTTTCTTCTCCTTCTAGACAAAATCCGAGGAGTCTAACCAGATTTCTATGTTGTAGCTTTGCAACAACAGTAACCTCGTTCTTGAACTCTGCTTCACCTTGTCCTGATGATTTTGACAATTTCTTCACCGCAACCTCGGTCCCATCCAATAACGTACCCTATCATCAGCATCAACTCGTTAAACAAATGTGTTGGCACAAAATTTCATGACAAAAACACAAGAAAAGGCAGTTAAGGAACTAATATTACCTTGTAAACCTCGCCAAATCCACCTTGACCAATCTTATTACTCTCTGCAAAATCAGTTGTTGCGGTTTGAATTGATCTATAATCGAGCTGCAGCGAGTCTGCAGTTGTTATATCATCTCCTGTTGCACAGTGAAAGTCTTAGAAGCAAGAAAATGAAGCTGAGCATTGACGCTAATCAAAATTCAAACCCACAAAAACACTGTTTGTCACTTGAATTACCATCAAATGCTGACGATGTGTGATAAGCCTTCTTTGCCCTCTTTGCAAGGAAACAATAACCAGCAATGAAAAGCAGAACAGCCACTATAACAGGCACAACAATGGCTACCACTAACACAGTCGAATTCCCACCTTTCCCTGCTTTTCCAAACATCATTTGCTTAAGATCAGACAATGGCAGATCAATAACACATCGAAATTTTGCAGAAAAATGGAAGCTTTTTATCTTGGTACTGCTTTTTTCGAGAAATTTGGGCAAAAAGTAGAGGAAGAAGACAGCTCGACAAATAAAAAAATAAAAAGGACGAAACTTTCTAAAACAGAGGAAGAAGACAGAGTTCTGACCAGGAGGCGGAGGAGCTGAGACAGGAGGAGTAGAAATAGGCGGTGGTGGTGGTGGTGGAGGTAATGAAATGGCCGATTCGTTGTAAAACGCGTAAAGCTCGTATCTTGAACTACAGCTATGCATAATAAATCTTCCCCCAATTCTGTCAGTGGGTAACTGATTGATGCTCTGTTGCAGACAACTCAAACAGTCTTGTCTCGTCAGATCAGGAGTGCACTGAACCAATCCGTAAAAACTCTGGAGTGCAGTCCAATTGGCTCTTCTCGCATCGAATTTTCTGGGACTTCTCGCGGCTTCAGCGGCGGCTTGGTTCATCGTCGAACCGACCAAATCTCTGAACTGGTCTTTTTGGTTAGATGTAACATTTTGGGTGTTCCATAAGACCACTCCTCCACCGGTGCTTAGTGTCGAGAGAATATTCCGGTTAGAGTATCGGAGCATACACTCATCGTAATACAGCACGACCTCTTTCTCATTCGGACACCGATTTAAGGTGTCGTTGACGGCAAAGGCCACGCAGCTGCGGCAACCTTCCGGCGAGAAATCTCCACGGCAAAGGAAAAGTCCGGTGATCCTGTCCGGGGCTTGCCCGGCGGTGGCGTTTTGGAATCCGGTGGAGTAGGAGGCGTTGCGGGAAGAGAGAGAAGACAGAAGGGTCCTGAGATTGGTGAAGTAAGTGCTGTTTCTGGAGAAAGTTGTCGTATTTGGACAGATGTGGTATACATAATTGGGATCTTGAGCAGAAGCTCTGAAACTAGTGAGAAAGGAGAAAAGAAAAAGGAAAATGAATGAGGCGCAAGAAGACATAATTGGGTTTCCTGGATTTGTGAGCTTTGAGAAACTCCGATATACTTGGAGAAAAAAATGATTTCTGTTCTTTCTGTCTATAAGATTAGCGTGAAACAGAGGATGGTTTTTGTGACGGGATGACGAAAAGTCAAGGTCAAAGTAAACGAGTACTGTATTGAAAAGTCTTGTCCAACTTGTGTTCAGCTACTAAACTACTAGAAGAAAAAAATACAAATATAGAATATGAGAAAAAATTATGATAGCGTTTGATATGGTCATTAGTAGGAAATGTAAGTCAGGATTGGTTTGCGAAGAAAGAGACTGTTGAGTGGTAGTTGTCATGGCATTAAATGTAGTAGTAACTGGCATAATTTTTTTGGGTGCAAATAATAAGACTGATTTGTTCTGTTGTTCCGTTGAAAACTTGAAATAATCAAATAACTTTTCTCGGTTAGCTCAATATGAGCGCACAAAAAAAAACCAACCCAATCACAAACGACACTATGATGAATAAACTGTTCGATATGTGCTGTAAAACAGATCACATCATTTATAGAAATAGTTGTGTCCATGTTTTGTACGTTTAGAGTCTTTAGACACAGAGCGAATATACATCTTTTAATTTCTTTTAGTATTTGTTATCCGTCGAGGCGTTGACGGATATTTAATTTTGTGATTTGCTTTGCGCCAGAAAATACAAATCTCTCAATTCAAAAAAAAAGAAAAGAAAATACAAATCTCCAAAATTGTGGTCTTTGTTAGATTTATGTATCGGAGCGGATATCTAATATTTTTTAAATTAGAGCATTTTCAAGAGACACTGTATTTTTAAGGTGTGAGAAACCTTATATTTGAGGTTTAAGGGTGATGCTCTCCAATGATAAACTTTAAAATGATACCTTAAAAATATTATACTTTACACTTTACTTCTTACTATTTATAATTAGTTAACTAATATCATAAAACTTTGATAAATAACTATAAAAATACATATTAAAAATATTATAGGCAATATTAATTAATACAACTTTAATATAATATTACATATTAATGATAATAAAATACACAAACTAAATCATAAATTACAAACAAAATTTATATGTTCATGTAAGTTTATTTTTGTGTTATTTTAGTTTATATGAAATTTGCTTTATATAATATTGTTGTTATGTATTTATTTTTTAATGTTATGTATTATATTACTATTTGTCATTATTATTTTTATTTTAAATTATCTTTTTAAATTTTATATGTATATATATAATTTATTTCTAAAAATAAAAATGAAATATTAATAAGATATTAAATTAGGAGAGTTGAAATGATAAAAACAAAAATTATTATGTTTAATTTTAAAACATATAACTGAAAGGACTGAAATACAAATAAAAAAGATGACACCTCAAATTTGAGGTATTGAACAGTGATACCTCAAATAGAAGGTGTCACTGTTCAATATCAGTTATAAGATATCTCTTGGAGATGCTCTTAGTTTTTGTGATTTGTGTTAATTTAGAGGAATACTATATTTTATCATTTGAATTGCTTTGAGTCATTGCAAAGATCTCTACATTTTTGGATCGAGCCGAGACTAATCAATGCAAATTTAAGGGATAGTTTGCCCAACCCTAATGCAATGAGGTAAAGACATACGCAGATAGGGACATTTTGTGTCGTTTATACTTTTATATAGTTAACAAAATTTTCAGATTCTTTGTTGACTATTCTACAAAGAAACGTTCTGGGGATGAAAAGCTGCGCCACATTCCGGGAAAGTTCTTATTTTAACCTTGAAGCCATTTAATAATTTTCTTGCACACGATTTTAATCTTTGTTGACTAATTTTTCAATGACAGCGTTTCGATAGTGCCAAAATGAATATGAAAATAAATGTTCATCAAGGATTTGGTCTTGGATTTCTAGTTAATGATATGAATCAATGAATAATCATCAAAATTGCTTAAAAAAAGTATAACGTGTGTGGGATCGGAAGATATCAAAATATACTAACTAATGACCTATTATATGAATTTATGAAAATTCTTAAATAGTGAAAGGACAAAGGAGTGTGGGGTGGAGACACTGAAGACCCAAAATAAAGGGAGAGTGTGAGGATATACGTAAAAGAAAAAAAAAAGAATTAGGAGGATAAAAACGTGAAAAAAAAAACCCAAGTTTGTCTGAAAGAAATCAAAATATTGAGATTTCACAAAAAAATAAAAGAAATCAAAATATTGAGAAATAAAAACATAAGATATATTGTTTAACATTAAAAAAAAAAAGAATTGAAGAATTTGAGATGTAGGTGCTCATGGCCGACCCAAAACGGTAAAGGCAACGACGCTGCTCCGTAAGTCAATGCATGGGATGAGACCTCCGCCGTGACTTCTCCGTGAAGAAGTCTCGACTTTTATTAATATGTGACGTATACTTTAGGGTTTTACAACCATCAGATCTTTTTAGATCGATTGCCCCTTTCTCAAGTATTCGATTTTCTTGGGAGATAAATCGCGTCACGAAAAAAACATTCACATGTTAAATAAGGAAGAAGAAGTTTTAAAAAAACAAGGAGATCTTTCCAAACAATCGACAAGTTTATTCCGAAAATCTGAACTCTAATTGAAGAAGCAACGTGTAATTAATCAAGAAAAAATATGCAGTAAACAAAGAAGACTACGATGTGATAATTCGATAAGACCTAAAGGCTGCGTGTGAGTATTTATACTCATGACTTGTGGCGGTGGATAATGCCAAAGCCCTAGTTTTCGTGAAAAAACCCTAATTCTTCTCCTAAGCCGACAATAAAAAAATAAGCGGCTTTTATGTAAATAAATCTCATTAAGATTGAAATGAAGCCCAACACTGCAAGAATAACATTCGTAGGTTATTTCGCCTGGTTCTATCTTTGTAAACCATTACCAATTCCCAGTTCGGGTTGATAAATAAAATATATATTTCCTTAAAAAAAAAAAAAGAATAACATTGGTATGTTGATAAGACTCTGGACCCATAAATTGAATGAAAAGATATCATAACAAAGATCTGATATTGCAGTGTAGACATGATAAAATTTAACAAGTTTACACATAACATTGGACTTTTGGATTACAATTCAAGAAAATGAAAAGAGCTGAAACATGGTTTCTGACATATAGTTTTCAGTGATCTTCAGCGAGAATCCAGATCTATAGAGGTTACATCATTGATAGTTTGGGAACTGTACCTGATAGTATACTGGCTAGACTCGGAGCCCTCTCGTTCTTGGTTGCATCTATTTGGAACAAAGAATCCGGGTGGTTGAGGACCAGGTAAGTTAAGAGAGTTTCTAGTGAGCATCATGTTGATTGTCGACATGTCGGGACGATCTGTGGGATCGTGTTGAACACATAGCAACGCAATGTGGATGCACCTTGTCACTTCTTCAGTTTGACAATTCTCTGAAATGGTTGGATCCACGAGTTCTAATGGTGTCCCGTCTCTCCACAACCTCCAAGCCTTTAATTATCATTTAAGAACTTACAATTAGCTAATATAATATTTTGGCTAATTATTTGATCATCAGTCAAGAACTTAAATGTTTCTTTGGTACTCACATATGTCACCAAATTCTCAACTGTAGTGTCTGAGTGGTGGACGAATATGTTTTGTCGACCACATATAATTTCAAGAACTAAGACTCCAAAGCTATAGACATCAGATTTCATTGAGAACAGTCCGTGCATTACATATTCTGGAGGCATGTAACCGCTGCAAGAGTAAAATACACACAATATTAAGTATATTGACACTGGTGAAGAAAAGAATATTGAAAGATTTAACTTTTAAGACATATATAGGCCATATCCAGGGTACGTATTTACCGTGTCCCAACTATTCTGTTTGTATTAGCTCCACTTTGATCCATCCCAAATATTCTTGCCATTCCAAAATCAGCAATTTTCGGGTTCATATCGGCATCTAGGAGAATATTTCTGGCTTTGAGATCACGGTGTATGATTGTGAGCCGTGAATCATGATGAAGATATAGAATTCCTCGAGTGATTCCACCAATAATGTTGTAACGTTTTGTCCAGTCTAATTGCTCTTTCTTTGTAGGGTCTGCACATACACTAGTACTAGTCATAAGCCACACATATAAATAAGAGAAAATAGTCTAGAATAGTCTCAAATAAGTCAAATAAGTCAATCAAATGCTACTTGCACATACCAAAGAGGAAGTAATCAAGGCTCTTGTTGGGGACAAATTCATAAACAAGCATCTTTTCTTCTCCTTCTAGACAAAACCCGTGAAGCCTATGAAGATTCCTATGCTGAAGTTTTGCAACAACAACAACCTCATTCTTGAACTCTTGTGCACTTTGTGCTGATGTTTTTGATAGCCTCTTCACTGCAACTTCTGTTCCATTAGGCAACGTACCCTACAAATGACATCAATGAGACAACATGAAAAACTTACTTTGCCTCTGTGATTCCAAATTTTGTCAAGAGAAGAAAAGAACCAAGTAGTTCCATAAATAACACCTTGAAAACTTCGCCAAATCCACCTTGGCCAAGCTTGTTACTGAATTTGTTGGTTGCAACTTCAATTTCCTTAAAATCGAATTGGAGGGAGCGTGCAGTTGTACTATCAGCTGCAAAATCAAATTAAAGACAAACTCTCATCATTACCAAAGAGTGTTGTAATAAATGTTCTTAACTAATTCTAGAGACTATATATACATTCTAAAACCTAAAAAGCCAAAGAAAAACATACAAATAATACTCACATTGAAGATCAAGTTCTTGATATGGTGTTCTCCTCCAGCAAAATATTGAAGATCGCCGAACAAGTAGTATCAAGATGATGATGATGATGATAAAGACGACTACTACAATAGGAACAAAAATTGCCACAATAGCTCTTGTTGAGTTTTTTCTACTACCTGTGGAAGTGCAATATAACTTTCATATATTTTAGCTGGTTCTTGTCACAATACTCATAGCTGTGCAAGGACTTACCATTGACAGAAGGAGGTTGCAACGGAGGACTAGGAGTAGGAAATGCCACAGCAATATTATCAAAAGCCTTAGAGAATGCATACAAACCCCAACGGAAAAAGCAGTTTGGCATCATAATAACGCCTTCTTGCTTCTGACCACAGCATGACAGGCTTCGCAGACAACTTTCACAATCACTAGAAGAAACATCAGGCGTGCATTGCATCATTGCGTATACATTCTGGACAGGTGTTAAGGCTGCAACATCAGCTTTGTAATGGTTATTACTAGACGATGATGTGCTTTTTGCTGTGGAGGCTGCAGCAATCATACGAACAGCTAAGGCTTCCCGTTTTTCCTTGAACTCTGTTACATTTGAGTCGATATCACTAACATTTAAGAGCAAATTATTTTGTCCTAGCTCTACAAATCCCAAGAAAGAGTTCCTGGAGTAGCGCACAAAGCAAAGTGTTGCCTCACTTGTCCATGAATACGCCTCTAACTCGCTAGGACAACTCTTTTTCAAACGATCAGACGCGGTCATGATACAAACAGAACACTCATCTGAAGTGGATTCTGGGATGCACATCCCTACTGCGTAGACACGGTTCGGTTCTTGTCCAATCGAACCGTTGTAGAAGAAGCCGTCTTCAGCAGTGACGTTGAAAGGAAGAAAAGAGAGTATTAGTTGGAGATTCTCGTCGTAAGCACTGCCGGGATTGTAACCTCCACGGTTCATGCATTGTTGTTGTGCTGAAACCGAAGCAACACCGAAGCTTACGAGGCCAAAACAGAGGATTAGAAAGAAACTCCTCTGTTTCATTTTTCCTTAGAGATTATACAGCAAAACCAAAAAAAAAAAAAAGAAGTGTTTTAGTATTTCCACATTAATCCGTCTAAACAGCAAACATGAAGTTTCTCACCGAGTTTTTTTTTTTTAAAGAAGACCCCAACTAGATCAAGGTCAATAATAATGAATTTTGTTCCTTTTGCTCCTACAAACAAAGTGTTTTTAAAAAAAAAAAAAAAAAAAAAAAACAAAGTATAAACCCGAAATTTTAATATTGAAAATTCATCAAACTGATAATAGTGGTCCTTAAATCTTGCATATACGGTCATAAAACGAGTATCAAAAGTTTTTTTATAATAAGAGTATTAAAAAAAGTTAAGGTGTTGAATTTTCAATTACGGACCCAGTGATGAAAAGACAAATGGAAAAGGACCAGAAGAGAGTGTCTTTGGGTTCACAAATAAACCAATATTGGTTATCTACAGTTGGATCAAACCTCTGGTCTAGCAACACTTGATCAGTGGATGCCTTGGCCAATGAAGCA